GAAATTAACTGCTGTGTTGTCCAAAGTCTTTACACCAGGACAAATAAAAGTTTTATTAAATCCGAAAAAACGGGTCCGTTGGTCAAACGAGGACATTGCTTGCGCCATCAGCCTCAGATCGATAAGTGCAAAAGCTTACCGCTACATGCGAAGCAAATTAAATTACCCTCTTCCTGCTTTGAGCACTCTCAGAAAATGGGCCTCCAAATTTGAATGTTTGCCAGGAATAATGAGACATGTGTTACTGGTCCTTGAACAATATGCTAAGACAATGACCGAATTTCAAAAACTCACATGTCTTTCATTTGACGAAATGAGTGTGAGTGGTCGAATGGGTTTCGATAAAATAAATGAACAGATTGTTGGTCCTCATGAGCAAGTGCAAGTCGCATTTATCAGAGGACTAACAGGAAAGTGGAAGCAACCTGTTTACTACGAGTTTGACAAACCAATGACGCTTGGAACTCTAAATGAGATAATCACTTCAGTTGAAAAGACTGGATACAAAATTGTATCAGTAACGTGCGATTTGGGCGGTGAAAACCGAGCAGTTTGGAATTCATTAGGAATAACTACAAATAAAACTTATTTTCCAAATCCTTTCGACAAATCAAGAAACATTTACGTTTTTGGTGACGCTCCACACCTCTTGAAACTGGCTAGAAATCACTTTTTGAACAAAGGGTTCATTACTGTTGACGGAACTCACATAACCTCTAAGTGTCTTGAAGAAATTATGGAGCTTCAAGATTCCGACTTAAAAGTTGCTTTCAAGCTGAAAAGTGACCACATACATGTCAAAAATAAACAAAACGTCAAACTGGCTGCCCAACTAATGTCAAACTGTACCTCTAAGGCTGTGGAATTCTTAGGAGAAAAAGGTCTATTGACGGATCCTAACTGGAAGCTCACTTCTGAAATGATTGGGTTATTTAATGATTGGTTTGATGTACTTAATTCCCAAATACCAAATCACAAGATTCCTGAGAAATGTGCATTTGGTGTTCAGATCGAGAAACAGACTAACATATTGGATAATATGTCTCAGTTCATTTCAACCATATTAGTATTTGGAAAGAAATCCTTACTGCCATTCCAAAAAGGAATTCTAATCACGAATAAATCACTCAAAGATATGTTTGATGATCTACACAAAAGATATAAAACTAAATTTATAATTACATCAAAACTGAACCAAGATGTCTTGGAAAACTTCTTCTCCTACATAAGAAGTATGGGTAGGGCGTATGACCACCCAGATCCAATGCAGTTCTCGTATAGATTACGATGGTATATCCTAGGCAAACATTCCTCTACAGCCTTTGCTGTGAAAGGAAATGTCCAACCGGATGATGAAACGTGCTTGGTTTCAACCTTTGAAACATATGTACCTACAGCTTGCGAAGGAGTTGAAATGGAGTTCTGCCAAAGCGCAAAGATTTTAGGCACTGTGCTTACAACGCCTCCAGATGACGATATGGACGATGACGAAGAAGATTTGTCTCTAGATCTGTCATTCATAATACCTCCAGAGTCAAAACCAGCAGACATCATAGGGGACGAAGGACTGCGATATGTGGCTGGTTATGTCGCATTTAAGTTGAAGAAAAAATATCCCCACCTGGGAACACCCTCAAGCCACATATTGAGCGTTGATCCAGAAACATCTCAGCAGTGGATCGAGACTGTTTCCAAAGGGGGGTTAAGCGTCCCTTCAGACGATTTCTTAGGCTTTGCCAGACAGATTGAAAATGCATTCAATGAAATTCATGGTGAATGTGTTTGCAAAGAGCGTGGTATAATAAACAAAGTGTTTGATAAAGTGATTAAAACCAAAGAATTGTATCCAAATATCCCCGATGAAGCGGCGTTACGACTGATACAAGTTAGAACTTATATACGAATAAAGCACCTCAACACAAACTCTAATGCTGCATTTGAGGAAGGAAGGAAAAAAATGACAAATAAGTTAAAGAAGTTAAAAAGGTAGACGAGCCTGTAAGAAAACAAAAAGTTTTAATGAGTGTTTAAAAGTTTGTTTGATATTTATTCCAATGTTTGTAATTTTCAATGTTAAATATTTAAAAAGTCATAGAGTTAGAAATTTAACAATCATAACTAGGCTAATTAGTAACTATTGAACACTGTCTTTATTGTAGGCCTACAACTATCACACACTGTACAGTACTGCAATGTCTTGTTTGTTTTTTTATGCCATGACTTAGGGTATTTTGTCTTATGTATTGTATCCTAGTTCAATTATAACAATGAACCTAATTTTTAATTAAACCTTTACCGACTAAAATGAACTCTATTTTAATGAGAGGTTGTTCACTTTTATAACCACAATATATTGAATTCGATACTTTTAACAGTCAATTATACAATAAAATGAAAGTTTAACGTTGTTCAGTTCAGTTTTAGAAAGGGTTTGTCGATCATTACATTTTAAGTTGTTATCCGATTTCTTAAAACGCGGTTACGAATTTTAAAGGTGTTACGAAATGTTCCGAACAGACCCGTGCGTTTTTCACATTAATGCCAAACCGACCACACGATCGTAACCACTGTCGTTTTAGATAATCATTTTCTGTAAATCTATACTATTTTATTTGGGAGTCTTTAGTTTTGCGATAGTAATTTTTACAACCGGAAAATGCACAAATCGCCATTCCACTATTTTGAAAACATTACAAAAACAATAACAATCAAATCAAAACAAACACATACCAAAATGACAGTTACAATCAGGTGATCTTTTGTTTGCAATCCAAGTGACGTCAGAATTTACGGGAATAGCACACCTATGTTTTTTCCTTCCACCATGCACATCGACGACCTTGTACAGTAGATTTATTTTACTTTATAATGTTTTTTTATGGATCGATTTGGCGAAAACTAGGCTAGATTAAAAATTGATATAAGTTTATTATGCGTTTCTGCCTGGGTTTGCTTCCCTAAAGCAGCAAACCTGTACCCGTTAATAACCTAACATTATTTAAATAGGGAATTAATATGGCATAAAGCAAAAGCAAAAATACAATCATGCAAATATAATTTTGCTTCCTGTTGGGGGCGGGTTCAAAGGAGAGAATGAGAAAATTTGACTAAGTAGCGAAAGAGAAATTCAAACTTTAATTTACAAAATATATCTCAAATTGAGAACATGTCAGAGTAATACCAATTAATTAAATGAGTATATACACAGTTACTTGATATTTGAGTTTGGTAGAGATGCCTGACGATAGACTGAAGCGGGGAGCGAGAAGATCACCAGGGGCGGACAATTTTTGAAGGGGTGAATCTTCTCCAGGTGCGGGTAGATGAGGGGATTCTGCGTAGCCGTAGAACCAGTAGCAGGTAGAAGGTCACAAAATCATGTAGAGGCCTTACCGTCACAACACTTTGGTATTTTTACAAATTAAATGGCACTCCTCTGACATTTAGAAGGGGAAGATATTATAAAAACACATACTTTAATACATGTTAAACGTCATTAATTCCCTTTATAACAGTCAAAATCTAATCTACTATATTCAAGAGAATGAGCAAGGAGTACATGTTGACTCTGGGTTAACTAATGCAGGTCAGATAAGATAAGCTATCTTTGGAAATCCTGGTACTAGTTGAAAAATTCAAAGATATTAAACTAAAACCAAACACTTCCTTTGCAGCTTTGCTGTGGTGGAAGTATTTTTGTAGCCAAAATTTTCTTTTCTAGATTTGTAGGACAAAACTAGACAAAAATGTTTTCATTTTTCTAGCACTGTTGAAGATGCATTTACTGTTGATCTCTTATGTTTTATTTTGTCAAAACATGCAATTCTCGCATAATTATAGTTGAGTGTTAGGATATCCCAAAGATTATAATTATACCTGATGTGCATTTTAAGCATTATGGGGTTTCCTTTATTGCTTTCCTGGGTTTAAAGCTAAGCCAAAATCCCTTTGCAATATTTCATAGCGTAAATTTAGGTTTAGCTTACCTTGAATGCTGCAACTAAATTCCACGTGTGTAAGGTTTAAGTGTTGGACAGTTCATACATTGGTGATTGAATGAAACACTCAAGAAGTTCTCCATCAACATCAGGGTGTGAGACTATTAGGTACCTTGCCAGGGTTTAAACCCTGCTCTGTGATGTTTGGTATTCTTTGTAGACTTTTTACAATTACATCTCAGTAGATTTTTTAAATTATTCAATGGCAAAAACTATTTCGGTTTCTAGGTAAAGAAGCACCATCAAAAATGTTTTGTTAAAGTAAATATTTTTTGCACTCCAGTATTTGTTAGAATGTTGTATCCATAGCAACTGCATTCTGAATGTATTTTTCATAGATGTCAACATGATTGTGTCTGCTATGAATTGTCTATCATTCTATGACAGCTGATGGAAAAAAAAATTTCCACCATGTGTATTTTTAGACAAAATTCTGTGAAGGGCAAGAGTTAAATGAATGTGAGTTGTGATACTAATGACTTAAACCGGGACGATTTTGCATATGTACGGTGCATGCTGTTGTCTTTGATAAATTATCAATTAATCAACGATTTACAAACATCCATTTTGTATAGGTTTCAAACTTAACCAATAATCAACTCCAGGTTAATCGTGGTAGCAAACTAGCAATAGGCATGAAATCAATGAACAAATAACCCTGTATGGTTCGTAACCTGCCAATCACTAAACTAAACTCCAAAAGAGGATGAGGGAGCTTCTATTGGCTAATCAATTTCACTCAATCAATGAATATTTGAGCTTCCTGACAAATGTGTATAATTTGTTAATATCAAGAGAATGAAGAGTTTTGTAAGACTGGGTTTACTTTACAATGCATGTAGTTGTTGCACTAACAAACTCATCATTTAAGTACCAATCCGAGTATACAGTCTTAAGTCTTAGTTTATTGAAATTTCCTAAAAAGTATTCATCACTGCGGAATGCAGAGTTCATTTCATGTCAACCATTAAACGTAGAGGGTTTAATCCACATAGAAACACATTGATGACAAATTTACATATATTAAACACAGGTACATATCAACTTAATTTTCCAGGAAAGAGACAAAGTCGGTGAGTTTTCCGAGCTGTTCCTCACTGGAGGTGACGATGGGAGGGGAAGGCAGTGGTTTGGGAGGAGTGACCATGTTTCCTTCAACTCTCCAATCCCGCAGTTGTGCCACTGCATCTGGTGTTGTCCCCATCAGTGCGGCCGCGGTAGTTAGACTGACTGAGGTGTAAGCCCGACAAACGAGCTGAGTGGCTTGCTTTTTCACTTCCTCTGCGATAAAAGCAGTTAAATTAGTTTAAAACAACATGTCTCACTACTTAATGGTTGAAAATATTAGTGATTAGTGTTTTTTCCCTCAAGTATAATTTGATATACCAATGGCGGCTGAAATTGCTTACCGGTACGCTAAATTTTTTGGTGGTGTTTTCAAGCAAAGGCACTTGGCCAGGATTTTACCTTAGAAGTACAAGTAGGCCATAAAACAAACAGATGACACATAACATACAATTTTTTGTTCTCTAGGAGTATTTGTCAAAAGTAAAGAGAGCAACTTTTCTGCTCTCTCTGTTTACACTTGATAAAGTCCCCCATGGGACTAAATATATTTTTGTTGTATGTGTTTTATGGTCTCCCTTTACTTCCAATGTAAGCTAGTTTTTTACTTTTTTACTATAGTTATTATTAACTATTCCTCCATTAATGTTGGGTAGACTTACGTTGCACAGCCTTGATGATCTCAGCAACGTTGTCTGACCAAGGTTGAGAGTTGAGAGCGCTGTACACCCCTGGATAGTCTCTCAGCCACATAGCTTTGCCTACACTCCAGATGTGGTTGAGCTCTGGATACTCCACCTTGCATTGACTGGGTATACGGTTCCAGAGGTACTTGGCATTGCACCTGCACAATACATGGTCTTGGTTAAACAAACCGCAGGTCTTAGTGACAAAGTGACTCTCACCCTCACCTATCTACACAGCATCCATAGGGCAGTTCAACAGGTGCGGCTGCATAGGGCTTTAAAGAAAGGCTTTCCTGCCCTGAGAAAAGAGGAAACTTTTAAAAATGTTGAGTTAAAAAAAAACTAATAAAACTTACGATTTTCTTAACCTGTCTCAAAGTTAACATTTATTGTTTAGTACTTTTATAATATATCTGTCAGAACTTATTTTTTCGCACATATCTGAATCCTAGAAGTGTGAATATCATTTATTTAAAATTTAGTTTTACTATTTTACTTGTGTCCACCTACACCATTGGCTTTTTTTTCAAGTTTTTGTAATGGAAGGATCCAACAATAGACTTGTTAACTAGTATCTAACGCCAGCCATTTGTTAGATAGGTAGCATCATTTATTGATAGCCCAATGGCAAAAAGCACCTCAGTCCAGAAACAATCTAGCTTGAAATCGAACCAGCTACCTCCAGATTTAAAGACGAACACTATAACCACTCGCCTGTGACATCAGACATATTGTATAGTTTAATATCTCATCTCATGTATTGAATAAAGCCTTATGAAGCAGAATGCCTGATTTAAGGTACAAAAATATCTGTCAACGCTTGCAGTCCAACTTATTTTATGTTAGGCCTACAGTAAAACATATTACTGTAACTTATTATTAAAACACTTTGTTTGTACCACTCCTCAACCTTTAATCAGACTGAACGGTTGGCCATAATTGATTACTCTGATAAAAATCCAAAGCCTTTACCTAGTAGTTTGGATTTCTTATTTTGACTAATGGGTTGCACCACATGTCAGGTACAGTTTTTTTTTCAGTTCTGTTTGCATAAATTAGTGAGTTGGTTGCATAGGCAGTGGTAAGTAGGCCTAAGGGTTTAAATTTAAGTGCCTTTGGATAGTGAATTTTATTAGTTTTTAGGGTTTAAGCATAGATAAAACATACTCCCTTGGTAAATTTCTCATCCTCATGGAACAGCTGAAGCCAATTTTATTGTTAGTTCTGCACGGTGCAATGTAGAGGTCGTGTTTTGTTTACAATTGCGCCCAGTCACTGTACATGAACTAGACACGAAAATCGAGCTTCAAAATTTACAATGAGATGAGAAGTCTACTTGTGGTGTTGGTTAGTCTATGGTTTAAGCTATTTCTACCACTTTTGTATTTTGAATTTACTCATACCAGCTACTTACAGGCTGAGTTTTTATTTCAGGATTAGTGTTGCCTACAGTATTATTTTGAGGCTTCTGATTGGCTGAGGGAACATCATTACCGCGTCGATACAGTTGATGCCAACGGCCTCGGTGGTGTAGTGGGTAGGGTGCTGGGCTGATGATCCGAAGGACCCGGGTTTGAATCCCACCCGTAGCACTAATTTTTGTATTGGATTTTTTTTCATTATCAACAAGTTTGGTTGGTTTGGTTAGGTTATGACGGTTTAATTTTATAATTAAAACATTATGAAATTGAATTTGACCCATTTATAGTTTTATTTTATGAACAGAAATATTTTTTCGGTTAAACCTTCATTTGATTTTTCATTATAAGCAAGTCTGGTTAGTTTTTTTTAATTTTAGAATAAACAAATTATAAAATAGGATTTGAGGCATTTATAATTTTATTTTATGAACAGAACTATTTTTTCGATTAATAAACCTTTATTAGATTTTTTCATTGTCAGCATGTTTGGTTGGTTAGGTTAGGTTATGACGGTTTAATTTCATAATAAAAAAATATAAAATTGAATTTGAGGCATTTATAAATTTATTCTATGAACAAAAATAATTTTTCAATTACTAAACCTTTGTTATAGTCAATCAGAAGCCTCTAAATGACACTGTTGGCAACATTAATCCTGAAAAACAAATTGTGCTACTTACAGATCATGCTGATATAAATAAATAGCTAGCAGCTGTCCGTACATCTGAGGTGTTACACTCCCATCTGCCTAAAAAAGAAGAATAATCAATCTTTTTTGCTGTTCAACTGGTTTTTAGATTAAAGTTTGTATTATGCCTACCTACTAAACTAACTGAAGATATGGCCTATCAAATTTTTTCGTAAGTATTGAAAATCAACCTGATGACTCACTAAGCTCAAATGAACATTTATACACTGATGAAATAAGGGTATCACAGAAAAGGCAAAGAAAACCTCCTCTTTGGACACAAGATTATCAAATGTCAGCTACATGCAATGAAGATTCAACTTAAGAATCTTCAGAGGAATGGAATGAAGCAATAAAAGAGGGCTCCAGTAGCAAAGCTAAATACGGGAAAAAGTACAAAATGGAGAAATAAAATTGAACTACAAACCCACAGAATACATGGTTGCTGATATTTTTACTTAAGGACTAAGCGAACCAAAACATCACAAATTTCAAAAGTACCTAGGACTTTTACCTAGCTAAGTTGGGTGAGGGGGGATGTTGAATATTGCAACCCAACTCATCTAGTCTGGATTAGTGATGGACCATCATATGTTTTTACATTGTACATATGCTGTTGTTTACAAAATATAATTCAGTGTTGTGTTTGTAAGACAATAAAAGAGTTTACAACAATTTATTCTTTCATTAACTTTAAATTCACCAACAGTAAGGAACCAGGAATGTTATTTTTTTTAATTACACTAGATTAACTTTGTTGTTTTTTTCCTGTGTTCCTTAGTAGGCAAGATATTTGTGTCACCCTATTGGCTACATATTTCCAGCTTGTCGAACTTCCTAATATCTTCATCGGGGCTTCTTGAGCTATCTTCTTATTTTAAACAACTTTCAACCTTATGACCTAGACCACAGCCTGGGCAAGGACGAGGGTCTCAGCACGGAGAAAACCATGGACAAACAGTGACACAGAGGTCCAATTGTCTTTACCCTTCGCCATCATCGGGATATGACCGTGTCCATCGACAACTGTCCTATATATGATGTTGAGGCTCAATGCGGGGCTTTTTCAAATGCAGGGGATGTCATCTCTAACATTAAATACCGTAGTCTATATTTACACACGTGCAGTCACTAGTATCGCAGTCTAGGCAACCGGCGATGACGGAGACACAGTGTTTTCATGGCGGAAGATCTTTCTTCCTCTGTTTCATTTCTTGGACATTGTTGCATGAGCAATAAAGGCAACAACAACAAAGGTAATCTAAGTACCGTATACTTGTAGAATTAATGGTACGGTAGCCTATTATGAAATAAGACACTACTTCTTCATTAACATTTTACGTTTTGGCACTATTAACTTATATGAATATAATAAAACAAGAACGTCTTCTAAAGTTCCAACACTTAAATATTTTAATATAGGTACCATACTTAACTTATAGGTCTACTACCAGTAGTCCTACAAGGGTCACAAACCTTTCATAGTAGCAATGTCTAATTTTCTATTGAATCAATTAATATTGAGGAAGAGATAATAGAAAAGCATAAACGGAATAACTTTTGGCACAAGTTGCTGATGGAATTGAAGAAATAAAATTACTATCTTTTAACACGTTGACTGCGGCCTACTGCTATAGCACTGGCACTGCTCGCGGCCTGCTGCTATTAACAGTAGTGTGCTCGCCCACCAAATATTGCGTCTGTCTAAACCCAGCACTCGGCCGGAGACAATGTGATTGTTGCCCCGCTGTAGCTTAGAATACGAGCTTTATTTTCTAGTGTAGGCTGGTACTTAGTATTCCCGTAAAACTCTGACTGGCAATGCTTTTGTACCGTTTTCGGGGATTCTCTCTATTCAAGCCATATTACAAAGACTCTGGTTATTGATCCAGGCAGTGCTGCTACCTTTTGGTGTTTCAGTGAACTACGTCCACTTTCGGGGTAGGCCTAACGCAGAACAATCACCACTGCTCTTTTGTGATTCATCTTACTGAGATATTTCAATGCCAATAGCGATCGCTGATTCAGTAGCGTGCTGGAGCTCCGCCTGCAGTTTAGGGAGCACCATAGTGAAGGTTTTCAGCAGACAACGAGTTAACGACTTCTAAACCAACCAAAAATTAGGCTACCTAATTATATTTGTCACTGATTTACCCTCGGTGGGGTTTTGCCGGTATATGGTCGCAGGTTCAGAACATTAAGTAAGCAAGTTATTAAGAATATTCTGAAGTATTAATTATATGTTACACACACAGTCAAAATGATTAGGTATAGGCCTAGTTTGTGTTTGGTAGCTTTTTTTAAATAATTTAAGACTCAAGATAGTTACAAAAACCTTCCAAACAACAACTAGGGTATCTCGGTAGGCCTAGGCCTAACTTAAGTGCCTAGGCCCACTAAGTTAGGTTTGTCCAGTTTATTACTTACTTCTAATTCTTTCATTTCAATCCCATTTGCAATAGCATTGAAGTTTTCGGTGGGATCAACGTTCTGAACCATTATATTTTATCACAACTTGAGTCTATATAAATCAAATTAGATAGTTGTATTGTAAACAAATTATTGGTCCAAGTGCAGGCAGATGCTGAGGCAGACAGCAGACAACAGACAGACAGCAGAACTAGAACAGAACAGAACAGTAGAACCACAACAGAACGAGAACAGAACCACAGGAGTGACAGTTGACAGTGAAGTCGAAGTCCAGAAGTTAGGTTAGCTTCATTTTCATCCCGCTCAAATTGGACGAAGAGAGCTCAGTCATGTAGCTACGTCGTTTATAATCTTAAGTCGTTGATTATGTAGAACACTAAACCAATGGTATAACCATGTATAACTGTGGCCAATTCGTATTGCAGATAATTTTCTGGGTTAATTAGGCTTGGATCGTTGGTTTGTATTTGTTCAAGATAGCGATTTATATATCTAAAATGTAAGGTATGTAACGTAATATTATTCAGTCACGCATTTCAAATTCAAAGAGTAAGAGTTCTTTATTTATTCCCCTTAACTTATATTAACTCTGTGAACATTAGCTAAATAAATACGTACCGATTTTTTTAAAAGAGTTTAACTATTATCTACAGTTTAATATATTTACTAATATATTAAGTAATGATGGTCCTGACTAATGGAACAGCTCATCTTAGTCAGTAATAAAGCTACGAGGGTCATCACACCTCACAACCCATTCTGTCTAAGCTCTTCCTTAACTCTATTAATTTTTGTTCAAATACGCATCTACTACATACTACCATAGATAAAACATACTCCTACTACTACTAGTGCGAATGTGAGGCGTCCCTATCTCAATTGATGCTGTATTTTAATAGCCTACTTGGAGTAGGCTTACCTATGTAGAACAAGAAATAAATATTTATAAGTAATGAACATCTATTTATTTGTAATGTATTTTTAATGAGTTTTAATGGCGTATAAATAATATATAATATATATTATTTATACGCTATTAAAAATTCCCACACAACACAAGAATATCCTTGGAATGTCCTGGGATATCCCAGTGGGATATGGGGGATATCCTCTGTACATCCCGCAATGTTCTCAGGATATCCTGGGGAACTTCCTGGGATATCCCTATGTCCGCCCAAATCCTGATCCCTGGGATATCCCACCAGGATATTATACATAAAAACACAAAATAATTAATATTTACGTTGTTGACAAAACGTTTGCCCGTGCCGTGTCGTGTGTGGAACTAGTTCCAGATTTTTATGTTAAATCGTATTCGTCCGTCAATGTCTTGTATTTTATTTATTTAAATGTCCGTGTTTTGTGTGTTTGTAAAACTCGACGACCTCGCAAGAGTGACAAGAGCCTGATGATGAGGTTATAACCTGGAAACCGGTAGCTCATTACTACAAATTAGGATCACAGACGGAAACAGGTAATCTTATACCATTTTAATAAATATTTAGTCTGAAAAGCACTTTTACCAGTTAAGTATTTTAATTAAATAGCTCATACAAACAAATTTTGGAAAAAATAGAAACAAAAATATTTTTGCCCAGACAAGTTTTGAACCGAGTACCTTTGACTTATGATCGAATCTCTTACCTTACCTCCTGAGCTATTTGTGATTGTTGATATTACTAGTTTTCAAGCGGTTAAAGAGGAGCCGACAGCTGAAATGGTCGCAATACTTAAATATTTTTGATACTATGATTCTGTTTAGGCATCAAGTTGTTAAATTGTATTTCTGGGAGTTGTAGAGGATACTGTAATAAGAATATAGATTATAATTGTTATGAATAATTAATATTTCCCTTAAATTTTCAACCAATAAATTTTCTTAAATAAGTTGGAATTTAAATTAAAAAGAAAATAGTTGCATTATTATTATTATTGTAAGTAGGTCTATTTATTATTATTATCATTATTATTATAAAATGGTAAAAATTAGAGTTTGATAGTTACTATGTCCCACGGGGATATCCTACGGATCTCCAAAGGATGTCCTATGGACATGATCGGAAAACATGATTAATAAAAAAAATCATTTAACGTTATTAGTTTAATTTGAAATAGTATTGAAATCCTTTTTAATAACGTTTCTCAAGCACTTGTCGCTTGAAAAAATACATCCAATACTATAAAATATGTTTTAATATAGGTAGCCTACCGAGAATATCCATAGGAAGTCCTCAGGATATCCTCAAAATGCATTCGTTTGTGTTGGATATGTGCAATATCTTAGAGTGATCCTAGGAACATTCTCAAATCCTGGGATCTATATGTGGAATATGTGGGAACTGGTCAGGATCCTGTGCTGTGTGGGAAAGCTGTATTCGGTATTTCGAGAAGTACTTGAGTTAGTTATTTTTGGATTTTACAAATAAATTATGTGGATAGGCAAAATCGAGCAACTATTAGAGCGGGATATTTACATTTCATTTAAATTTATAACATCTTTAGCTTGAATAAAAATGTATTTTTAGAATGTTTATTTCAGCATCATGTATACTAAAAGTCCCGTGTTATTAAGTATTACATGGTATTACACTTTGTATTTGTAAAGTCTGTAAGTTATTAAGTTTGTTCGATATGCTCAGCAATGCAAGTTAGTAAAACTAGAATATTCAATGCCTATGTACTGTCCCTTACGATGGACGTTTTCCCCCTTGGTGATGGTGGCGCGGAGCGCGCAGGACTGGAGGAGGGAATCTAACCTATACATGAATCAACAGGTGATGAGCGGTTCATTCAAATTCATGTTTTGGGGTGCTTTGGCGGGTCAAAAATGCAAGATTCTACCTTTTTGTTTGCCAGCGGCAGCTTTGTCTCTTTTCGTTTTTCCACTGTCGCGCTCGTACTCCACAAAAATGCCTGTCGAAACTTCCAGGTTTTTGCGTTTTGTCAAGCTCTCTCCTAAAGCTTTTTCACCAACCAAAGGTTCAGATAAAGCTGCAGGATTTGATATCAAAAGGTAAATGATTAGTTATTAATATTTTTTAGTAAGGAATGATGTAGTTTCGGCTAACCACAGAGCCTTACCCAAACGATAGCTCAAGAACCAACTGTTGATTCTCAAACTCGACTACTAGGCTAGGCTAAGTTAATTTAGGCTAGTTTGAGAATTATTTTCTAAGTATAGCCTACTTAGCCTAGGCCTATGGCAAGCTAAAATGGCGATTCAAATTTTATCTTAAGTAGGTCTAATAGCCCATTGTTCAACTTAATAACATTTTCTCAACCATGTGTAAGTTCAATCCAACTAGTTTCTGACATTTTTTTCTATGATGTGTTTGGCCTGGTCATTCAAAAGATAAAGGCTAAGTTTAGTACCACAATGTCAAACCATTTGAATAACCTAAAACCTTGTTTACTAGACTATGTCTTTGGGCCCCGGGACGATTGAATACCCTATTATAACTGTAGTCTTAGACCTAGGTTGATAGGCCTATTTATGTAATCAGTGGTGTAGGCCTTGTAATAAATTATCCAGTGTGAGAACTATTGTTGTAAGAAAAGTAGGCCAAAGGGTCGCCTATCAATATAAGTTTGCCATAGGTTCTAAAAAAACCCAATGTGGGATCACTGTTCGCGCTTTAAGATTACTACACAAATGAGTGTAATGAAAATTTGCCCGCACATCAATAATGCTAGTCACTAAGTTAAGGCTTAGGGATGAGCATCGATGGGTCAACCATCGATGTACCGATAACATCGTTGCGAAAACATCCATGTAGGCGTTGTTTTCCTACTTTTCTATGAGGTTTTTTTTCACATTTTTTAACCTCTTCTGTTGTTAAACGATTTTTATTTTGTTATTATTTAATTTAGGCAGCCTAGATATGTTGTAAAAAATCTTATCGTTAATTTATACAGTAACTTTGAAGCCTTCAGTCGGCTTTGTTTGTGTTTTGATTCCGGTCAAAACAAACAATATTAGTCTGAAAATAAAACTTGAGTCACACTACTGTAAGCTTTGAGAACCTCTTGTATATTTATAGTCTGAAATATGTACAAACACTAGATTATATCAGCCTCAGAGTTGGGAGTCTTAATTGATTTCAGGAAATATTTTGCCCAGATATTAAAATTGTAATAAATTAGGCTAGGGTTTATTTTATGGTAAAACTAACCTGTCAAAATATGTATGACGTAAAACGTCAACTCACCTGTTGTCCTGTTGACATAACACCAGGAACTCTTATTGACCGCGTTCTGGGAACAACCGGTGCACCGGTACAGGACTTTATGCAGAAAATGCATCTTTATGGGATACCAATGAATTTACGTGCAGCTATGACAAGAAAGTGGGTTCCATCCAATAAATTATCAATTATTTATCAGTTTGATAGATTACGTAATAAGTGAATTATAATATATCAGTAATTAATTCTGTGAGGGCAAGTTGGTTCAATTTTAATAGGCTACTATAAAGTAAATACCGTGGTATAACAATCCCATGTGCACCGTAAACCGGCGACTAAAGGTTCTGGGATCCCAAGGCGGCAGAATCAGAATCAGAATACCTTATTCTTGAACATAGAGTACAGAATAGTATAAAATAGCATAAAGTTCTTGGGCTTTGAGGCGGTAGTGATGGTTATTACTATGAGGGTTGTTTAGTCCTCACTGGAACATCGGTGAAGTTCTCCAGTTCATGAACTCCTCAACTGTGTAGAATGGTCTCTCCACAAGCCAAGACGATAAGAGTTGTCTGGTGCTGCTTATGCTGGAGCTTTTTATTGTCTCTGGGAGCAGGTTCAGGAACTTCACTCCCATGTAGGAAGGCTTTTCTTCAAAAAGAGGCACCGGCGAGTAAGTCACCAGATCATCTGCACCAATACATGTTCCCAGAACGCGCCCATTGTCTACAGCCACAAAGGTGTGGCAGAGAATTTTAGCATTTAAGTTTTTATAACTTAAAAAAAATCTATTATTTTCTGTTTCAGTGCCTACAGCTATGTTATACCTCCTCGGTCAAAAGAAATGGTGAAGACAGACTTACAAATAGAGTTACCAGAAGGTTGCTACGGCCGCATCGCTCCTCGTTCTGGCTTGACTTGGAAGAACGGGATTGATGTTGGAGGTAAAAGGATCAATTCAGATATTTTAACTTATTTTGATTATCATACGTACTGTTATAGAAGCTTTGTAGATTAATGGAAACAACTGTTCAACTTACTTTTCTCATTCTGTTTGAGTACATTTCTTGGCAAATCTATTGGGTCTCATTCCTCCTGGATTACGTTGAATACATAAATTAGTATTTAGGCCTACACCAATTTATTGGGTTTTATTAATTGGGTCTGTAGCCTATATATTTAGTATTTTCGTATAGTTAGGCTATTGTAAATATTTCCTAAGAAATACAGACGTTTCTAAAATTTGTTTTTATGAACACTCACTCAATATAGCTGCTGAGTTACATCTGCCAATGAATGCATATTTTTTTTGTTTAAGGATGTTTGATGTTTTGTTAACTGGTTTCTAATAAGAATTCATTTCAGCGGGAGTTGTGGACGAAGACTACAGAGGTGACATCAGAGTGATTCTGTTCAACCACTCTGATGAGCCGTTCACGATTCAACCTGGTGACAGAATCGCTCAACTGATATGTGAGAGGATCTACTACCCTGAACTGCAGGAAGTTGAGGTAAGCAGGAGTCGTTGAGTTGAATAGTCAATTTTGGCAATATTTTTGGTTAAGTTTAAATTTACTCAGCCAAGAATCAGGATACAGTCAAATTTGTATCTTATTTTCTTTCTTTGAGGGTTATAAATTTAACTTGAAATCCTTTTAAGAGTCCTTGGAGGCTAGCGGCCATCTTGGATGGTTTCAAACATCATAGTAATTTAAGTATGTAGTAAACCGTGAGATTAATGTTCATTGTAGTTTTAAATTGTTCTCCACGGGAGTCCATGGAAGCTAACGGCCATCTTGGATTTCACAAGAGAATAGCAACAATGAGAAATGTGATTGCATTGCTAAAACTTAAAAACTCACTCTTAAAATACTTATTGAACTCAATGTTTAGTTAAATAAAAACACAAATTGGTTAGTAAATTAAGTTGAGACGGAAAGTGAATGAAAGGAAAGAGGCAATTGGGGTGTATTTCAATTGTGACATTAGGTACTGATTAAAATTTATCTTTATTAATTATAAGACTTTATATGAGTCTTATTTATATGTGGATCTCTTTGTTTTAGGAATTGAATCAAACTACCAGGGGTTCTGGCGGATTCGGTTCTACTGGGAAGAATTGAAGTCGTTGAAAATTGTGTTCCTCTTTCTTGGTGATAATTAGATTAGATGATAAGTCATGTGTATATAACAAACTTTCTGATCGGTCTCCTTGTTGTGCAAGTTAATAAGTTGGTAGATTTGTCCTTCATAATTTAATTTAAGTGGTGTTTTTTATATAGTACAATGGCCCAACTGACCATTCCCTTTGCTTATTGTAAGGATTAGTGATGTTTAAATCCATTGAATGAATATTCCTTCTCTTAAAGGAAGATATAAAAAAGTAATTAATTTCCAAGTTAAAATTGTTGCTACGGAGGTCTATGCTTTTTTAAATTTATGTTTGTAACATTTGTGCCCAAATATGATACTCAACCTCCTGATTTTGCTTTTATTCAAGCTTTTCGACTGATATGTTTTTCTTTAGTATTATACTTTAATAAAGCGTGTTTTGTAAAGACTTGGTAATGAATGTCCTATCTCAAACCTATTCCTTGTAAATGTAACTTGCAATTTATATAAAAAGTATTTTAATTTTTCAAAGATTTTATACTGTGATAGTAGGTACTTTGTTCAAATTTTTATAAAACTTTTGTTTAATCAGGTAAAAGAAAACAATTAATCTATAACGTTTTTATTTTACAATATCAATTCAAATGTTAGTTACATATTTCATTGTGTGAAGATTACAACAATGATACGATTTTTATCCAAAACTAACAGTACGTACACATTAGAAAGTGTGCTTCCTATTTTTGGATGTATAGACATGTTATTTGACATTGGAATTAAGACAAAAACTTCCATGACATGATTGTAAGAGGGATTGGGGACGTCTAGCAACAAGGACCATGTTTCTGTGAAAGATATCTTATAAAGGCTTGGTTTCTTTGAATCACGCAGCGTCACTGCGGGATGCGGGATGCGCGATGACGTAATCACGCAAAAGTCTGTTGCAGCTATTGCTACGGGGGTGTTTTCTCTGACTTCACGTGCGCAATTCTCTGCTGTGATTCCCGCCAATTTAGTTATGCGTGATACCTTTGCGCGACGCACTGAAGTCTGGGATCCCAGACTTTTTGCGTGGCACGCAGTAGTTATAACCATCTGTTCATCTGTTGGTGACTGATAATTGTGTTGTTAATGAAACTGCAACTATGAAATCCAAGGTTTTTACTGCCAAGTCATATGAAAAGCTTTCAGTACTATATTGTTTCACCCAAAAGAACTACAAGAACAATGGAATCAAGAAGAATTGTTGACAGTTAATTGTGTCAAGCACAACATTTAAAACGGCGAAATAGGTTTTTTTAGCGAATTTCCCATATAGGGAATGAGCTATTACCGTAGTACTCATACTCATACTCAAAACAACTGTTTTGGAAGCATAAAAAATTCCCTAAACTTAGTTTCATTGTTCAATTAAATACCTAGTAATCAGAATTCTAAAACACCCTTCTTCTCCATGCCAAAGAGTCCTCATTTACTAAATTCAATAGTAAATTATCTCCATTATCCTCTTCCTCCAGCAGCAAAGCTACGGCAACGAGTCTGACATCCATATTGTCCATGGCTGAAGATATAATCACGCGCTGCAAGGATGGAGTCATAGAAAACACCCTTATTTTTTATCACGCACGCGTGATTACCGCGTATCACAAATCACGGATCACGCAATAACGCAGCGTGGTTCAGAGAAACCAAGGCTTAAGATTTTTACACACTGGCCCAGGTTACTTGGAGATATTAAAGTTATAATGGTACCAAACGCTGAATGTATACAAACAATTATTGTCAATGGTTACGATAAAAAAAAAATACAAGGTTTGTCTCATCTGTAAATTAGATCTTTAAATAGCTCCAGTTATGGCTAAAAAAGGCAGTTCAAATCTGTTACAAACATTAGCTTCTCTACTTCTTCCACTACTATTCTCGCCGGTTCATTATACACTTTTGATGAGCAATGGATTTTTATACGGGATAAATCATTCCAACAGACACCTAATCAAATCACAGAACAAGATTCATACTTGACGTCCATCTTCTCTTTTTTATCTTTTAGATGAAGATTAAACATAATCGTCACATATGGGTGTGAGGGGTGGTAAGCTACTGGTTTAGTAGTAGAGTAATAGGAAGGAAGTAAAAGACCTCTATGGCGATGTTAGATTTGAACTACAGTAGACTCCCTCTTATACGGACTCCTCGGGACCGAGGCCAGTCTGGATAGCGGTTTTTCCGGTTAAACCGAAGTCCCCAAAATCTCGTTAAAACGGACCGTTTAAATGCATACTCTATACAGTATTTGACTAAAAATTAGGAGAGCATTGTATTTAGACACGTAATCACTGGTCTCAAAACTTTCCCACGAGAACAGTCGTTTCAGTACCCCCAACTTCCTGCCGATCTAGTCCGGTTAAACCGATGTACTGATAAAATTTATCCGGATAAAGAGATGTCACTTCTACCGAGTGTAGTCCGGTTAAAAGGTGTCCAGATAAGAGGGAGTCTACTTTAGCTTACTCTGCCCTAACTGGAGGTCAGTATTTGATTAATGGCAAATTTTAAATTTAAAGATTTGATTGTGAGCGTGTCTTTTTTTATTTTTAACTATCTAAACAGTTTTCTGAAGAACTGATGTTGTTTTATTCATGCTGTTCTAACTTACTTTAAATTCTATTCAAAAGTGAACCATCCCATGACAGGTGTTGTGAGAGCGTAGGACTTTCTCAGGTGTTCGAATCCCACCATACACCAATAGCAATTTCCCATGCGATAATGCTGAACTGTAACCGTGTCGTACATAATTAGGTAAAAATAGAAGAGGAGAAAAACTCAGTACTGTATTTGAAGTTCTTCCTTTACAAAGGTCATGGCAATAACGGTAAATGAATTCACAACACTTAGAATGTTCTAAAGCAAAAATTATCCAAAAGGCTTAATTTACTACACAATTACATTACACTGGCAGTTTCCATTTGCTACTAACTGTGAGGTTGCTTATCAGTAGATAGCAATCAGTCATCAGATGTTTAGCAGATGATAAGTGATCAGATGAGCAAGCATCAGTCTCCAAAATGGACCGCAAAGATCTCAATGTAATTTTCCTCAGTGTTTACCTTATGATATTGTTCTCTGCGGAGTTCGCAGTTTTAAATATGCAGGTTAGTTTCCATGTGATTTTTAGTAATTTAATAGTGGTTATTTTATGTTCTGAATGAGGTAATAATTACTTTTATACTAAAACATCTGGTACCCATTATCTTCAGATATTGCATTACAAATGGGTTACTTGTATTAAAAGATTATGAAAGATCATTTCTAAGAAATTGAATAGGTACAGTATGTAACATAGAGCAAAGGGCCTAGATCGTAAAGATTTACATTCGGATAGTTTGGCTGGATGGGAAAGGAGTCCAAATTGTTACCAGAAACACAAAAGATTTCACGATAAAAATTTGAAACAAATGTTAGAATATTTCACTGCCACTGACAGCATTTCAAGCATATCTTGCCAACCCAAACCAGGGAGTGTAATATGATCCTTAAATGTAAAATATAAAAGCTGACCCTCTAAACGAGTAGGCTAATATTATCTCGTGAAAGAATATGCATTATTTTAGTTCAGCACTATTTGTTGGAATTGGAATTATTCATTAAATACTGTGAACATGTTTATCTTTTAAGAATATAGTAGGTACTGTAATATTTTAGCTAATTCTTTTGGGGGGATCCCAGATCTTTCTCACCCATTCAATTTTATTCAGGACTTCAGACCACATTTGAATCAAAAATCTATTCTTAGGATGTGTGAAATGAAGGTTTTATTTATTAGATTGTATACTTTGTAAAAATATGTTTTTAGCTAAATTAATAAATTTGCATTTTATAAACTTCAAGTCGTTGTTTATAGAGCATCTCAAATTAATTTGTTCGTAAACGGAAAATGATTTGGGTAGACAGAGTCATATTATTGTAGGTTTAATGTACAAATTTGTAGCACATATTACATCTAGAATTTGCCTCGTCATACTGCTAGTTTTTACAAAATTTGCACGGATAATCAAATCATTTCTAAATATAGGATTTGAAATTAAAAACAAACATTTTAAATGCATTCAGAGTTTTTTCTTCTGTTTTAACAACTCTCAGTGAACCACGAACCATGAAGCTTACTCAAGACGACTATTTAGAGTTATACACTAATTTTAGCAGTCTAATCAAGTCAATCAATTGAATTACATGAGACAGAAATAACAGTATCTCTACTATTATTAGTAATGCACGTCAGTGTTTGATGTTTTTGTGAGATTACAGTTTTGGCACACATATTTGACTAAGGTTGATGTGTTATATTTTAGTTTATTCGAAAGCAACCTCACCTTCAGACGAAGCTACAAATTTAATTACTGACACAAATATTAATACTCATGTTATTTTTAGTTTCCATAGTAAAAAATAACTTGTATTCCCACTCATCACCTCTTTTAGGCCGGGGCCACACTTGTAATTTTCAACCAGCGAGACTGTTTTCTCCGTTTTCACGTGCGACGCACGTGAAACAGTTTGTCCGTGGCCACACTCGTCTTACGAGATAGATTTTTCGGGCAAACCAGCGAGACTGATAGAGCATGCCACACTGGCAATAAAAATCGTCCGTGTCCGTGATACGCACTCCTTCCCCCTTCCACGCTCTCTGTACTGGTTAAAACTAGAAACGTCCGTGGAAAAAGTTCAGCGAGATAAGATGAGTGTGTTCACTCCCATAAGCCGCAATGCCCCGCGACTAGTTTTACGTGCAACGCCCGTGGAATGTTAGTAGAGAATACACGTGCAATTCCGTTTGTCAGTCTCGCTGGTAAAACCAGTGAGACTGACAAACGCGTTCACGGACGTTTTTACTCTAGTGTGGCCTGCCCCATATACCGTAATGTATCTCTCAAACCCACGGGTAACGCCCGTGGAAAAAATTCAGCGAGATAAGATGAGTGTGGCCCCGGCCTTACTCTTCACTGCTTTAAAATGTTTAACATAGTGCCTACACAATTCTGTAAAACGTAAATTGATTTTTTGGAAAAAAATGTGTTTGGGTAGGCGAAATCTCCATTAAAATCCTAAATTTTACAAAGAATCGTTTTTGTAATTTCCTAAGCTGGAATCCTGTTGAACCACAACTAGCGCAGTAGTCATTTAATGTACAGGGTTGGGCAAATGTGTGGATACCCCTAGTTAACTTTTTAATGGGTGACACCAGGAAAACTAAACTCTACATACCTTCATAAAAAATAAAACTGCACTTTTTGGACGGTATCCCAATTTTTCCCGGGACCCCAAAATGGGGTATTTCGGGGGCAGCTCAACAATTTTAAATGTAAAGCCCCATCGAGTGACACTTCATTTTAAAGGCCTTTATTAAAGAAGAATATCAGCGAAAACTAGAGGTCTCTATCTTAACCCAGTACGACATGGCGGTCATTTTAAATTTTCATCAGCCTGAGAGAACCCACTTAAATGTAGGCATCAATATCCCATATTAACTTTTTAGCGGGTTATACCAGGAAAACTAAAATCCGCATACCTTCATAAGAAACAAAAATGCACTTTTTGGTCGATATCACAATTTTGACCGGGACCCCGAAATGGGATATTTTGGGGGCAGCTCAACAATTTTAAATGTAATGCCCCATCGAGTGACACCTCATTTTAAAGGCCTTTATTAAAGAAGAATATCAGAGAAAACTAGAGGTCTCTATCTCAACCCAGTACGACATGGCGGTCATTTTATTAGCGAATTTCCCATATAGGGAATAAGCTATTACCGTAGTACTCATGGTAAGACCTGGACGCGGGACCGATTTTTTTTTTCGTTTTGAGGTCCCTAGAGGCCAAAAACACCATCCGTTCAAATTCATATATATATATATATTTATATATATATATATATTTATATATATATATATATTTATATATATATATATGTGTGTCCGTCAGCACGATAACTCGAGCAAAAATGATCCGATTTTGCTGAAATTTGGTACAAACGTGTAAACGTACGTTTATTCGAACGAGTTCGCGATCCAGCATGATCGGACCATGTGAACGGGGGTTTAAGGGGGTTTTATGGGGTAAAAATAGGTTTTTCCCATTTTTGACCAAAAAAACATAAAATTTAGCAATTTCTTTCCAAACCATTTTGTAGAGCTTAAAAAAACAAATAATTTAGTATATTGAAGCGTTATTATGCGCCTAATGGTTACGGAGGAAATTCCAAAAAAATTGTAAATTTAAAATTCCCATGTTATTCTTATGGAGAATAAGTAAACTGTTGTAGTTTGCTTGTTTGTGAACATATTTTGATCAAATTTGGAAAATGTTTTTATTTCTTACTAACTATTCACATTTTACAAAAAAAAAACAGTTTTACCCTCCCTGATGCAGCAAACCTAAGTACTTTTTAAACTAATTCTATTTAAATCAAGAATAAATGTTATATTTTTAAGTAGACATTTCAGTGTAAATCCAACCAGTCAAATGGAAATTCGCTTAGTCTGCAGGTTTGCTGCGGCGGGGGTATTTTAAATTTTCATCAGCCTGAGAGAAACTTTTAATGAGGTTAAATTGTACGATGAATTTTCAAATGACCGCCATGTTGTACTGGGTTGAGACAGAGACCTCTAGTTTTCTCTGATATTCTTAATAAAGGCCTTTAAAATGAGGTGTCACTCGATGGGGCATTACATTTAAAATTGTTGAGCTGCCCCCAAAATACCCCGTTTCAGGGTCCCGGTCAAAATTGTGATACCGACCAAAAAGTGCATTTTTGTTTCTTATGAAGGTATGCGGAGTTTAGTTGTCCTGGTATAACCTGCTAAAAAGTTAATATGGGATATTGATGCCTACATTTAAGTGGGTTCTCTCAGGCTGATGAAAATTTTAAATGACCCCCATGTCGTACTGGGTTGAGATAGAGACCTCTAGTTTTCGCTGATATTCTTCTTTAATAAAGGCCTTTAAAATGAGGTGTCACTCGATGGGGCTTTACATTTAAAATTTTGGAGCTAACCCCAAAATACCCCATTTTGGGGTCCCGGAAAAAATTGGGATACCGTCCAAAAAGTGCAGTTTTATTTTTTATGAAGGTATGTAGAGTTTAGTTTTCCTGGTGTCACCCATTAAAAAGTTAACTAGGGGTATCCACACATTTGCCCAACCCTGTATAATATCTAATGTATAAACGCCATTCTCATTGATGTATAATATCTTCTAATAATGCCAAGGTTTCCAAAATACCAATCAGGTCTTGGAATAATTTTTGAATTGGTGATGAGATTTCCACGGCTGGAACACCAATCTAGCTTAGTGACATTTTCTGATCCATCAGAACTCTAATCGGATACTATAATGTATTAACTAAGAAATGGTTAATCAATATGGTAAATTTGTCCTAGCACATGGCGACCAATAAATGGTGCTAACAAAAACTCTTATAATACAACTGTAAATTTCATAACTAAACAATTCAACGCAATGTACTGAGTTAGATTAAGGAACTGTGACGCTATTTATTGTATTGCTGTACATGAAACAAATAAAGAAGATTTGAATTTGAACAGTAACTCCTGTCCCTTGCTGAGTGCAAACTGAAACCATTTTGGTAAAGAGTAGCGCAGCACATGGTTCTATATCCAACCACCATGCCCACCAATGCAGTGAAGAAGGATTCCAGTCATTCACAGTGATGAAATAATTCAACAGATTTGTCAACACTAACACTAATAACGCCATGAGATTAAAAGTGTTTTACACAATGTATGTTACATATTTTTACAGAAAACAATAATCTCAAGTATTCATGACGAGAGGCCCGACTTCAAGGTAGAAGGATACTTTGTGACAGGGATTGCCTACACTGTGTTCTCAGTTTCTGTGTGGCTGGCTCCTTCCATCATCAGTGTGCTAGGGGCAAGGTCATCTATGGCTCTGGCCACCATCGGTTACATGTAAGTCACCAACACCATACATAATGTACTAACTCAAGGATGTACGTTAGGTCAGATGCCTAGTTGTATAGTTTGTTCTACCATTTGATTTGTATTAAGGATGGGTGAGACCGGGTAAGACATTGTACTTTCTTTAAAAATTTTTTTTAAGCGAAAAGAAAAAAAATGATGCAAATAATACGGAAAAGGGAAATAATTACTTGGCATTTTAAGTTAAATATAACACTATGCCAGCTTTATGGTTGGTTACAGGAAAAATGTAATTTTTTGTAAACATGATTTTGGAGTTAGCCGTAGTTTTGTTTTTATTTAGTGGAAGTGATAACTTTTTTATATCATGCCAAATTTTTGAAATGTTTGGAAAATCTCCCCTTAGGCTGGTAAAGGGTATTTAAAGGATAGTGGTTATTGATATTCCTGTCATTAGCTGTGAAGCTAATATTTATAATACTAAATAAATAAATAATAATAATAATAATCTTTATTGTCATTCAGCAACATAAAATTACAATAGACAACGTCAGAAGTCAGGACACAAATGTGACATCATGCTTAAATTTATACATCATCCTATGAAACATTGAACATTTTGTTGCATAAACTGTACATACTGGCCTAAATATTTAAATTTAAAATTCTAAGATTGAATTCTCTTACACAAATTTATACAAAACTTAAGTAAATAATGCTTCAAATAAAGCTAGTTCGGCTTTGAAATCAATTATAACAATTGCAGAATTTTGTGGTATTAATTTACAATCCAAACAAAGTTGTTTGTTTTCTTAGACTACCACTATCCTTCCAATAGTCCTCTACTTAGACTACCGATAGACCTCTACTTAGACCTCCACTAATACTTTCGATAGACCTCAGATAGATCTCCACTAATACTTCCGATAGACCTCTACTTAGATCTCAGATAGATCTCCACTAATACTTCCGATAGACCTCTACTTAGACCTCCACTAATACAGTAGACTCCCTCTTATCCGGACTCCTCGGGATCGAGGCCAGTCCGGATAAAGTTTTTCCGGTTAAACTGACTTCCCCAAAATTTTTTAGAACGGACCGTTTAAATGCATACTGTATACAGTATTATTCTACTTAAATATAACCCTTTCAGACCCGGGAATCTTAGTCATCTCGACCGCTTGAAGTCCTGAGCAAATTTTAAATAAATTTTGGTTTTTAAACTAGATTTCAAAAATACTAAAATTATTGATTAGGTTTGTTTTAAAGACGAAACCTTCATAATACCATATTAACCATTTCAGTTTCAGCAATAATTAGCATTATAGGCCTATACGTTTAAAACATAAATAAAACAGTCATTAACCTTAACAGTTGCCTTTCTCCTATCTTACTGTTACATTGCAACAAAACAATCAGTGTTACCATAAGACATGAAGGCGGACAGAAAAACAAAAATTCCCAGCTGATCTCCATAACCTACACAATCGATGCGTACAGGTCTGAGCAACAGAAAGATCCAGAAACTTAAAAAAAAAACAAATAAACATCTAACTTACACAATCGTGTTGGTTAGGTTGTCAGGACCTAAAAATTTACCTACACAAATGAGTGTGCTGGGTCTGAAACATCGAAGTATATAACACAACTGGAATGCTAGGTACGTGTTCACGAAAGCGCTCCGTTGTGGCAGCCTTCCCGCACCAACATGGGGGACCCAGCGGATTTTAGCCAATTCATCGAATAGTGCGCGAAGTTGTTAACTCGCTCCTAGCATTCAATAACAAAGATTAAGTACAATAATGTTTATATATATTAGTAATCTGCATTAAATGCAGAATCTAATGGTATAAATAAATTTTACTTTTGATTTAAAATAGAATTTCCATAGTTCAAAAGAGTTAACAATTTTTACATTGCGACATGAAAAAGTTAGTATGCGAGGAAGTATTTTATTTTTGGATCAGAAGAAAACTGTAAGCGACAAAGTTGTAGTTTAAGAGATGATTTTTAACATGTGATCGAGAAATTTACAATTAAGTTTGTAGTTTGTTTGTAGTATAGTGATTAATAGCGCGACGAGGTTGATTTAATGTCGCACCAACCTCCTCAGTCCAGCAACTCTTTATGTTTTTGCTACTCGATCATTCTAAAGCTAAATAAATTTTAACATTTTTTAATAGTTGATATAAATTAAAGAATACAACTAACTATTCTATTGATGTGATCATATATTTCATTTATTTGCAAAAGATAAATATCAATACCGTTACCGGACTGCCGCCCATGAATGACACTGTTAGGGATACTGTTTTACAAAACCGTTTGTTTCTCCAATGCTAGGGACATTATGAATGAATGTAACAAAAATAAGTTAGGTGTAAGGCAGAGATTGAAGAAATTGGTTTTGTTTCACAACATGTAATGCAACCTTTGTACTATATTTAAGCACGATTGTGGACAGTTAAACATATTCTTAAAAGTAATGTTTAGTATTATTAACCAAACCCTTTTCTCTTATGTGTGATGATATGAATTTTAAAACATATACAGAATAACAATGACACTCAAAACACGTTTTACTAATCGTGTATTTACAACATTATACAAATACTCATATTGTCAAAGGAACACGACTAACAATTCGATTTGTAAATTTATTATTCAATTTTTGTTATTGTAAATACTTCCTAGGTTTAGTATTTATGACCTTATCAATTATTTGATCTGAGCCTTAATATTTGAAATTTCTCATTAATTATCAAACAAAGCAGATAATACACGATCCCTTGTTACATTTAAACAAAGGGGGATTACCAGTCCCTGTCCCTGTATCTATAGTCTACATTTTATATTTTAATTTACGGTAACATTGTATGTAAATAGTTTACCTAGAAGGTGATAATTCAGTATTTAGTTATGTGTTACCTGTAATAAAAATGAATTTAATATAACTACCAGGTTGTACTCAAAAACGTTTCTGGGAGTACCGTAAACATAAAGATCAGCGGAACCAGTGAGAACGGCCTGCGGCGCAATTTATAAATAACCTCTTTGCGTTACTAATTACTCCATTACACACGACTAGAAAATTTTATTTGAAATTGCTTGGTTATATGCTGAAGATCATCTCATTAGCTACAGTTTTCTCGCTTGAAGTTTGCTTCTGACCAAAAAATAAAAAAAATTCTCGCCTAGTAACTTTTTCATGTCAAGGTGTGATATTTGTTTAACATTTTTAGTTGTTAAAATTCGAATTACGATTTAAATAAGATTATATTTATACTGTCAGATTCTGCAGTTAATGCAGATTCTGAATATATAACTTTAATTGCAGTCAACCTTTTGTATGCACGGCCAGGAGCGTATTAACAACCGCGTGCACGGCTTGAGGAACTGACATATCTGCGTTGGGTCCCCCATAGTGGTGGAGGAAGGTTACCGAAACGGCGCGCTTTTTATCCCACATCTCCTATCTACCCGGTGTTCCAGTTGTGTTATATACTTCGATGGTCTGAAAGGGTTAAGAGAGCATTTTATCTAGTCACGTGATCACTTAGCACCGCCCACTTCCTGCCGATCTAGTCGTCCGGTTAAACCGATGTGCTGATAACAATTGTCCGGTTAAAGAGATGTCATTTCTACCGAGTGTAGTCCGGTTAAACCGATGTCCGGTTAAAAGGTGTCCGGATAAGAGGGAGTCTACTGTACTTTCGATAGACCTCTACTTAGACCTCAGATAGATCTCCACTAATACTTCCGATAAACCTCTACTTTGACCTCAGATAGATCTCCACTAATATTTCTGATAAACCTCTACTTAGACCTCAGATAGATCTCCACTAATGCTTCCGATAGACCTCTACTTAGACCTCAGATAGATCTCCACTTAACACTTTCGATAGACCTCTACTTAAATCTCAGATAGATCTACACTAATACTTTCAATAGACCTTTACTTAGATCTCAGATAGAACTCCACTAATACTGCCAATAGACCTCAGATAGAACCCCACTTCCACTTAGACTTCCTGTATTATTCCCCCGCTATACTTGTACATGAAGTGACGAGTGATTAAAGTGACTCGTGTTAACAGTTTCTATCTGATGGCCTTCAACATAGAGGAGGCTTGGACCATGTACACGGGTGCTGTGGTGGTGGGTGTGAGCGAGGCATTGTTGTGGACCTCGCAAGGTCATTACCTCGTAACCAACTCTGAACCACACACTGTTAACCGAAACCTAGGCATCTTCTGGGTCATCTTCAGCTCTGCGTAAGTCTTATTCTAAAAGCATGATAGTTTTTATGTGTCAAATTGCTGCATGAAGAGTCTAAATTTGAATATGATTTCTGGCTTGCTGTGAACCCTCTTAATACAAGGTGAAAACTTACTGTGTCATGAATTGAACCCAAGTAGTATAGAACCATCGTCTATTGAACGACACAAATGAAATGAAGTACAGTAGCCTCTTGCGGGGGACAAAGTTCAATTGCGTTGAGGCAGAGAAGATTGGTAGCCTAACACTCTAGTAAACAGAGGTCTCTGGAGCAACTTTTGGATTTGTTTGTGCAGTTACAATACTTTCGCCATGAAAGAGCAGTATTTTAGCTCCATGCCAACAATCGGCCTCTGTGTGTGGACTAACACTAGGATATAGTAGAGTGGTCTGTTCTGCATCTAACATAGGGAGGCATAAAACTTAAAATGTTACAAAGTACCAAGTCCGTGATGCTTAATTTTTTGTCCTTGCCAGTTGAATGCTTTGCCATAGTCAAGAAAAGCGGAAGAAATAAATGTTTCACTGTCTATTTGACACTGTGTGAGAGTTCTAACTGCTGGATTCTGGATTTGTAGTTTTGTTTTAAATAAATTTACTTCGCTTAATACGTTGAATTTTTGCAGCAACTTTCTCAACACTTGTTTTAAAATATAAATAATTATGGTTGTCTTTGTCAATAGCCTAAGCTCATTTTAATTCACTATCCACAGAGAGTTGTACGGCAACATATTCGTCTACTACAAGTTGGAAGGCAAGAAGTACATAGACGCTGAGACACGTAAGACTGTTATCTATGTGATGAGTAGCATCGCAGCAGCTTCTCTACTCATGTTCACAGTCCTGGGAGGCTCCAAGGACACTGAAGATCACAAGGAAGGTCCTGTACAAGCCCTCAAGAGGACTTGGCACATCTTCAACACTCCTGATATGAGGGTCTTGCTTATCACGTTCATGTTCATTGGTAAGTTATGATTTGTTGCGCAAGGAGAAAGCTTTTAACTTTTGACTTTAGCAAATTTTATATGTGATTATCAAAACCTTTAGATCAACTTGCTAAGGTCTAAAAGCAACTCGACTGAGTATTGCATATGAATAGAGTTTTGAGTGCTGTATAGACATGCCCTTAGTTGAGGAGAACCAGATGAACGATATATTGGCTATATACAACTTCTTTGGGAGACTCTCAATGTCCTAGAGAGGGAGGAAGATAAATATATATTCCAGCTTTGAACCTTCTATCTTAGTGCACATTAATTCGGCGAAAACCAAGCAAATTCCTCACTCTGGACCTTATATTTCATAAGGTCAAGGATAGATTGTTGGTGGTGTCTATGACAGTTGAAAAGCTATTGCCAGCTTTGTAGATTCGCTCTATGCTTTTGCACTGAGAAGGCACCACACTGTCCTTCTTCACGTTTGTAATTATTTATGTGCTCACATAAATAATTATCAGTGAGCACATAAATAATGAAGAAAATAAATGAATAAATAAATAAATAAATGAAGAAGGACAGTGTGGTGCTGTACATAGTACAGGAACCAGATTGTTAAGAGAGAATAATGTTTTGTTCATTAAGAACTTCACAGCCTGAGCTGTAACTAATCTTTTAGTACCTTGGACAAGAATTTGATACACCAAAGGTTGTAGTAAAAAAACCAAGTATTGCCGTCGTATGAATAATCATTACCGTAAAGCTTTGTTACTGGGTTGTTGAGATCCGTTTTCTCAGTCAGAAAGCTTTATGATAAAAGAGGTAAGTTTTTTAAGCTAGTTTCCCACAAGGTGTAGCTCAGAGGAGTGTATTAGGTGATATGTTGTCAGTGTAGGCATGCAGCAGGCTTTCCGCAGTGGCATCTACAGCGCTAGTGTCGGCTTTACACTCAAGTTTGGTGACTCGGCCAAACAGCTGGTCGTACTATCTGGAGTGTTCCTTGGCACCGGTGAACTTGTTGGTAAGTTTACTTTGTGAATTAAGTCCAAAATGCTACAATTATCTATTGTACTTTGTGACTATCGTGTATTATTGTTGCAGTGGAGATTTTTTTCCCTTAGGACATACTCACTCGACTCCTTTGAATCAATAAAATCAGAATTAATGTAAAACTCTATAAAATATTGCTCAAAGCTATTATATTTTATTGTGAAAGTTTAATTAATCATCTGAAACAACCGCATGCAAATAAGAGAACCCATTCCTAAAATCTGTTCTTGCCAAATTACTTCTATCCTAACTTTCTGGGAAATGAGCATTATGAAGAATTTAGCTCCTACCAAAGGTGCATATCAATTTGAATGTTTGTATTTTTTTATATGACCATCTTCTCAAGCTGCTGGGATTTTTCAGACCGAATGTATCTACTTAAGAAATAGCCAACAGTGTACAATTCTGTTACATCTATGCTAATCATAAGGAGTTCTCTCTTAAGGTCAGATCACCCAATAAAGAGGTGGTTAGCCACTGTCCCTCCTCCACTTCTGGTTCAAGTTGGAGACTTATTCACCAGTAAGCCTCCAGTCAACTAATACCCAATGTTTGTAGGTGGAGTGTACCAGATATGGCTGAGTGGCTGGACCAAACGTCACATGTTTGGACAATGCTGGGTGCTTGGTACTGGACTACTTTGTCAACTCGTAGCTTACACCACCATGTGCCTCAATCTACCAGCAGACTCTGTCTTTGGCAACACACTGGACCAGTCCTACCTGGATCCTAGGTACAATGTTGTATAGACCTCACTATACAGTTAGTTGCTTTACTCTTTGTGGACCAGAATATCGTTGTTTGAGGAAAGGGACCAACTGATTTGATTTGATTCTTAAGTACAGTAAAATCACCTGGTTTCTGGTAAATTTATCAAGTACTTTTTCTAAATGGCATACAATTTTTTAGTTTTAAAGTTAACGTTTTTTACTAGAATACAAAGCCACAAGATAAATACTTACACTTCGGACAGGCAGTTGATAAATGGAAAGGTTTAAGAACATTAACATTACATTAATTTAAATTTAGAAAATTCCGTTAATTGATCCGTTTCCAATCACTATACTGAAACAGCAACAAACTATATTGATGTATTTTTAAGCAGGGTAAGCTTCAAATGAAATGAAATGATCTGGGTGTAGTTTCTTTATGGAGTAAGATTAGCTATTTCCTTAGCCGAGACCATGTACAAAAATACCAATGACATCTGGGTCCAATCTTGAACCATGAAAAGCTACACTAATTTTCTTCTGGACAGTTGTTTACAATATGTCTCTGTTTTCCAGTGCAGTTCTGGCGATGATGTGCAGTTTTCTCCTGGGATTCGCTGACTGCTGTTGCCACACACAGGTGTATTCTCTCATGGCTGTCATGTTCCCAGAGGACAGCTCACAGACATGCGCCATCTATAAGTTTACCAAGGTGTGTCCTTTATATCAATTTAATTTTCCTAATACCGTTTTCTTTTTATTTAGGTTATATAAGGCAAAAGTGTTATGGGATTGGATGATTGAGCAATTTTGTATGGTAAAGAGTTTAGATGCTTAACTAGAAAATTAGAGGCAATTGGATTGTAGTATACGGATCAAATTAAGTGATGATAATCTCAACTTCATTATTTTTTTCTCTTAAGAAGAAGTCTTATGAAGTAACAGTCTTGTAAAGTAACCTCTTATGAAGTTTCACTGTCTGGGTAGACGAATAGTTTTACATTCAAATCTGAAGATCGCTGGTTCGATTCCAAGTGAGATCGTTACCAGACCCAGATGCCATTAGTCATTTGGCTCTCAACTAATGATGCTATCTGACAAAAGGTCGGTGTTAGATGGACCAGGGTTTGGGTCATTCTCTTACAAAAAAACCTAAAAAGTGCCACAGGCGTACACAAAAATTTAAAATAAACAGATTTACCATTTTAAATATTCTCTCTTTTGAAACCTGTGCTGTTTAGCTTTTTAGTCTTTTAAACTGGTTGTGTTCCTGGCAGGGTCTCATGGTGGCTCTGATGTTCTATTGTTCCAACCACCTCAACCTTCATCAACAAGCCGCAGTGCTCGGTCCATGTGCTGTCATCGCTAACATTGCGTTCTACAAAGTTACCAAGAACGTCGTCCGAGCTGTTAGCCAACAAGGCAACAACGATCTTCAGCTGGAAACTATAAAAAAAGACATCTCCGCCTCGTGACAGTTACTAATGGATGGCCAAAACTTAGAGATAAGTAACCGTTAGCATAGATAAAATCCTTAGTAGATTTTCTCATCCTTTTGGAACAGCTGAAGCCAATTTTATTGTTATTTCTGTCCGGTGCACGGTAGAGATTGTGTTTTATTTACAATTTGTTTCTTGTTATTTCATTAATTTAAATCCTCGTTTTATCCAAATAAAACGATCTAATCATAAACAATAACTCGTTCCCTAGTTATATAACCAAACAGTAAAGCACAATTGATGACATTAACCCTCAAATAATAGAAACACAATTTCTTTGACACTAGCGTCACCGGACATGAACTAGACTCAAAAAACGAGCATCCTAATTTACCATGGGATGAGAAGTCTACTTGTGTTGGTTAGTCTATGTTTTTAAGCTGATTATGTTGATATCATTAACTGAGTAAACATTTTTTTATATTTTTTTTTTTAGTTTGCTATTTTGAAAGTTTATCCCCTTATTATATTTGGTTACATGAATTCTCATACTAGATTTTCCCTGAGAATTTCATTGAATTCACGTTTTCAAAAAAAAATCCTTATGTAATTATATTTATCTGAATGATTTTGTAAAAATCATGAATAAAGCAATCAGATACTCAGTTTCCTCTCATTAAAAAATTACTTATGTGTATGTTAAAATTGATTTTACAGTAAGTAGTGACTAGTGTTTGCTAGCTAATTATGTATTTATGTATAGTTTAGTAATTGTATATTTTGTCGTTAGGTATGCTCAATATTTCAATATTTGTAAATTAAATGTTAAGATATCACTATTTGTAGATAAAATTGTATTGACTGTATGTTGTTTTCTAAAAAAAGAGCAATATTTTTTCAACTACTTTTTTTTAATCCTTTTTTAGACAATCCAACGTTTTTAATATGAAACTAGGCAGAACTATCAGAGAAAAATGACTACTTTGAATATCGAATACGTGGTAGTTGATGTTGATGGGAATGGAGTGAGATTTCCTGTTTTGCTTTGTTACTGATTAATATCAGCAGATCAGCTTTTACTTTAGAAAGACCATCAAGCCTGGACAACCGGGTCAAACTAGATGCAAGAGAATAAAAATTTACTTAGTTTCACATAGTTTAAAGGATTGACTCTGTTGTTTTTAGGTTGCTGTTGTTGTCAGATCGCAACATAAATTTCACAATATTTACATAAACTATCTATTTATTATTATTATTATTATTATTATTTCTTTGTCATGAGAGCCGAAGCCCCCTGACTGCGTACCCGGTACCTATCCTTGAGGACATACCCGGGCCCCATGATGTAGGCCGAAGCTTACGCATCAACCTTTAGCACATCATGGGCGGATGACTTAAGGTCATCAGGCTCGCCGGCTGCCGAAGCAGACCCTTCGGAAAGAGGGTTGCCCCTCAATCCTAACCAGGGATTCCGGCTGCTTGTTTAAGCGTCACTCCACCTGGGTTCCACCAGGTACAAGCCCTAGAGGACCATAATGGAGCGCCCCGATGCATTTAGTGCAAGCAACACTCGGGACCTATCTAATCCCTGACAGGCAGAACCCGCCATCATAGCCAGAAGGAAGGGGACCGTCAGCACGCTGACGGGGGGAACCCCAACCTCCCATTTACACCACTACCCGATCGAGGCCTTACCCATTGCTGGGAAACCAGAGATAACCAGAGCGATAGATCCCCAGATACCCCTGGCGGGCTCGGACCCAGCACCCGATCTACTTCGTTTGCCCGTCAGACCCAACATCACTGCCAGGCCATCAGGGTTTCCCAAAAGGAGGCAGGTATAGAAGTGGGACCCACCCGGATGAACCTATCCACCAGAGGTGGCGACACCCTTGACTCAATTGAGGTTCCGGGAAGAACCCCCCACACTCAAGATAACCATACCGTCCGTGCTCAGAGACAGGGATTGGTTTGCATAAGTGCCTACAAACCGTTACCCTCACACTGTGGAAAGTTACGTTGCCCTTGAGTGTCCCCGTGAGCTACGGGTACTTGCCCGTTTTCACCTCCAGGAAAGGCTACTTCCAAAGTCGAGGATTTGCCACACTAAATGCTGGTCGCACACAACAAGCAGGCCGAAACCCAAAGAACCACAGACACAGGTAGGTTAGAGAATATGATGCACTTCCATCTCTCCTAGAGCTAAACACCCCTCCATCCTGGATAAAGGAATGTCACTGGGACCCAATGCCCAGTCGTCCATGTCTGTGGCCTACTTGAAAATGCCGATACCAACACCGAGCAGTTACCTCCCCTTTGGGGGCTAGGTTTTTCACCTCCCAGGACGAGGCTACTTCCAAAGTCGAGGATATGCCTCACAAAATGCCAGTCGAACACAACAGGTAGGACGAGCCCGAAGAACTCAGTCACAACCACAGTTACAGGTAGATGAGGAGAGGCGGAATTAATGGCGTCACTGAGAGCTAAACACCCCCCCACCCTGAATGGAGGGAATGTCACTGGAGGCTCCCCCTAAGGGGCTGGCGCTTACCAGTCGTCCATAACTGTGGCCTACCTGAAGTGCCGGGTCTGACACCGGGCAATTACCTCCCCTCTGGGAGAGCTAGGGTCCGCGTGGTCGCCAGGCCACGTACCCACGCAAGCGTGGGCCCCCTGCGGGTACATAAACTATCTGCAATTTTAAAAACTATAGTCTGTCCAACTTAATGTGTTTAAAGGGTCCTTTGAAATGTAATAGTAACAAGACCACAGCTTTGGGCCGTTCCCTTACAAAAACGATTTTAAAAAGCCATTGGCATAGAAACAAAGAAAAAGTTTGATTATTGGACTTATTTGGGGGGAAGGAGGGACAAGTTTTAGAGTTTTTTTTCAATTTTCAAAATCTTGTTTCTCCCACAATCAAAATACTGAAATAATGCTCATTTTGTGGTGCTGATTGGTACGGTACTTAATACTTATTAGAAGACACTCTAAATTTATGGTACAAATGAGTCACACAGAGCAACAAGGATCTGTTGTCCCACATTTGGTGACAGACAGGTCACAGGTTTATGTAACAGCTGGAAGTAACTGATATGCCAATGTGGTGTAGAGCTGTAACTGAGCTGTAACTATGTAGAATATGTCAGTCTTGTTTTCACCACCTCAATAACACATTTAGTATAGGGCCTAGAGCTGTTAAGCTAATCCATAGTATTGCTGGATATGATTCATTAAATTATCGTAGGTTGGTTGTTTCATCTGTTATACAATGCTTGAAAAATGTATTCCCTCTTTTAAAAAAATGTACTTTGATTATCACTTTTTACCTAAGATTCATGTAAGGGGAAGCAGTAATAATTTAATTTTAAAATAATCAATTTTTTTAGCTAAACCGCTTTTAAATGTTGATTGATTTGTCCAACTTGAATGTTAAAATTTAACCTCTTCATGTAACAATATAAAACAATATTATGTAACCTATATCCAATTTTTGGAGTATATAGGATGTTGACATTTACATTTCTATTGATTACAATAATTTTAGTGAACTTCCCACAAAACGTTACCAATTGCTGTTGGTATCATTCTAAGACTTAGACCCGGGACTGATTAAATTTTTATTCTGACAACCCCAGCAAAAATAATATCTAAATTTTTATTCTGACAACCCCAGCAAAAATAATATCCGTTTGGATTCATATATATGTGAGTCTCTTAGGACAATAAGATTAGTAAATACCCCCGCCGCAGCAAACCTGCCGACTAAGCGAATTTCCATTTGTCTGAATTTATTTTCAGTTAAATATATTTTAATAACATTAGGTTTAACGAGTACCTAGGTTTGCTGCTACAAGGAAACTAATAAAGTGTGTTTTTGAGTAAAATATTGATAGCTTAGTACAAAATAAATAAATTTGCCAAGTTTGATCAAAATATAATCCATAAACAAGCAAACTACAACATTTGACAATATTCTCCATAAGAATAACATGGGAATTTTAAATTTACAATTTTTTTAATTTTCTCCGTTACTAATAATCAAACAAAAATACTTTTATATACTAAATTGTTTGTTTTTTTAAGCTCTTTAAAAAGGTCTAAAGAGAAATCGGGAAATTTTGTGTTTTGAGGGTCAAAAGTGAGAAAAACCAATTTTTACCCCATAAAACCCCCCGTAAAGCCCCGTTCCCATGGTCTGATCGTGCTGGTTCGCGAACTCATTCAAGTTTATCCCGCTTTACACCTTTAAACCAAATTTCATCAAAATCGGACAAAAATTACTCAAGTTATCGCGTTCACGGACGTATATATATATATATAAGTCTATATATATATATATATATACATATATAAAAATTTGAACGAATGGTGTTTTTGGCCTCTGGGGACATCAAAATGAAAAAGTAAATCGGTCCCGGGTCTAGGTCTTACCGTGCCACCTACGGTAATAGCTACTTCCCTATAGGGAAATTCGCTAAAATGAGCCAATTTTGTTTGACGAAACAAAAAATGTTTAACCTACATTTATTCAAACGAGTTTATCAACCAGCATGATCAGACTGTTGAAATGGAAATATATTTCCCCTTTTTATCCCTAAAAATAAAATATAACATTTTTTCTCCATTTCTAAACCATTTTGTAAAGCTTAAAACCCAAATAATTTATTATATTTAACACACTTTATTACCTTCCCTTTAGCAACAAACATTAGTACTTTTAAACCTATTATTAAAATAGGGACTAAACCTGACATGGGTAAATATTAAAAAAAAATCCAAGCAAGGGAAATTTACTTAGTCTGCAGGGTTCTGCAGCAGGGGGAATTATCAATCCCTACAGATACAATTAGTCACCAGAGACAGTGCCAAGTGTGTGTGTGTGTGTGTGTAGTAGGAGGGTCTTGGCGTGGGGAGAGTGGTAATTGTAATGATGCCTCTACAGTGAGGTACTCCTACAGACAGTTAGTGGCTAGTGGTCAGTGGTCAGTGGTTAGTGAGCTCACTACAACACTAAACTACTAACACAGGATGACTGCTACACATATCCTACTTCTAATTGCCAACGGTAAGTCACCACTTTGTAAGCAATTACTGTAATTGAGAAGTTAGTAAAATTATTGTAATAGTAAATTGTCATTAAAATATTATAATTTTTTCTAGCATTTTATCTAGGAAAAAGACTTTCAATTAAATTTTGTAGTTTGATTACTTTACGTTATATTTGGTGTTTTTTAAAAAGCAGTTGTTTCAACCAATTTCAGCTTATGTGCCAAATATAAGGGATCTTCACATCCTTGAGTTTTGTAGATTTTTTTGAGACTATGTCATTTTTCATATTTTTAATTTTAGTGTGGTTGGATGGAGTTTAGTGTAAAGTGTAAATGTTGGGCCTTAAATAATCTCAGGTAAAGTTGAGAATATCCATTTCATCTCCAAGATAACAAGACACAGGGTACTGAGTGCCGTACTTGCAATTAATTGACTTGTCTCAAAAATAAAATAGTGTCCATGAAACAAACACACTCTAAACTGTGTTCGAACCTACTATACATACTTTTTTTAAAGAAGTATATAGATGTTTATTTTTTAATATATAGTTTATAAGACATTATATTTTAGTGACATTAGTTTACAAATCACTATAATAATTCTTTATTTGTGCACAATCAATAAAAATTCTTCAAGATATAAATTTTTTTGATATTTTAGAAATTTTGATTTTGATTGTTGGGTAAACTCTCAAGCTTGTTAACAATTCCAATCAGAGAAAAATAAATTTATTACTATTTATGTGTAAGAGTGTGTATAAAATACAGCTAATCAAATAAATGTACAAATTTGTTCCCTTACCTGTTCATTGCAACCGTAATATCAAATCTTGTTTAAATCAGATCAATTGGTGGCAGATGAATACCGGTACGTCAAATAGTATTTCAGTACAAAACAAATCAAATAATAAACACATTATCACCACAGACAAAAAATTAATAAAAAGTGACAAAGCCTACTGACACTTCAGATTGTTTTTATATTTGTTTTAAAACAGTGCAAATGTGTGAGCGAAACCGGAAAATGTTCTAATAAGGATACAGCTTAAATAACCGCTGGTGAAACTATATGAAGGATTTTGAAAGTAACAATACCTATCTCAAAATGTGTACAGAGCCGTGGGGCTTTATGCTGTTTTATACATTTATTTATAAAACTCAGAAAACCTTTGTATTGTAACTTATCAGTAAATCTGTTATCGGTAAATCGTAAATATTTATTAATGATCAAAATGTGTTCTAAAACTGTTTGAAAACGTCTTTAATTTAATTTTTAGCCTAAAACTTATGAAATATATCCAACAACAAAGGGTTACTCGTGATTCTACGAAACAGAAGCTAATAAAGAGGAGGCCATCATTTGATTTACTGTCATGTCAAAGAGACAATCGCACAGACAGACTGACAGACAGATAGGTAGTATTCTCGTTTCTGGTTACTGTACAAAACGAGAAGAACCCCAACATTATCTAGATCTATGTAATACATGCACAGACTGTTATCGTTATCAACTGGGTTTATTCATAAAACATTGTACGTACCTACCTGAAAGACGTTCACAGCACAGCCTATTGATCAGCTGAGCCGATGGCCTCGCAGGCAGCTGCCGGGAACAGGATTATTAAGCACTATTATCAAATCATAGTTGACAACGGTTTAATTACTGCATATCCTACACTCTACACTCGTCACTTCCACATCGGTGTCTAGCTCGTGTTGAAATGCCGAGTGTAAGTTTAATCATCAGTTATAAATTCCACACCTCCAGAAATTATAGGTAGGTAGTTAAATTTCAAACGTTTTACATTACTAATATTATAGTGTCTCGAATATTAATTTGTGCGTTCAACGGTTAATGGTTTCGGTTCATAGCTTGATACAAAGTATAATTAAATGGAATTCCGATGCGGATGCGGCATGGGTCAAAAACATTTACGGGTAATACGATTTATGCTGTAAATTATACATCATCAATCGTTTACTAGGTTGAAAGAGTAGGTACATATTATTTTATAATTTATACTTTACTATATTTTTACTTTCAGTATATTTTAATTTCATGTAACAAAACTTCTTTAGAGTTTTTATTCCATCCTGCGTATTTCTACACGTATGGTATATTGTCAGTTTTTGCGTATTGAAGTATATCTTGAATACGTAAAAATACTACACCATATTTATTTTACTGGCCCCCGTCACCGCACCATGATCAACTATCAATACGTTGTAATAGAAAAATCAAAAATATAGTTATACATATAGGTAGTTTACTAATTGTAACATATTAATCCAATAATCATGACTCCGTGCTATTGTCCAGCTTCCCACCTTTCTCGTCGCACGTCAACAAAATAACTTCTTATCTGAGCATAATCAGAGCGCAGCACTATTTTTATTCTTAATTGATTAACAGTCTAGACTTGTAGCCTACTCATATAAATCGATTAACCTGCATCGTGACAGTAGGCCTACGGGTAAGGGTTAATGTCAACCGTATTATTTATGCGTCTGTCAACTAAGTAATTGTTATAGGGTTTGACCCCCCACTCCCACAGAACCCAAATCACAAAACGTGATTCATACTTGCACGTCGATTATCAAACCACCGACGCCGTTATCACCTACTCATCAAGTAGGGAAGGGATAGAATAGTAGTGGATGAACAAGAACCTACGGTCAGATTTTAACCCTTTTGTTTGGTCGCGACCGGTGCTCGTTGCAGACCTTAGTTATATCATAGAATAAATAAGGTTATATGGACAACTCTGGTATCTTATAAGGAAATGTGTAACTGCAAAACTAAACCGCCTAGATAACTCAATAACTTTCAATGTTATGTACTAAAGGGCAGGGAGTTTTTCATGGTTTTTCTTACCTCTAAACAATAAATACCAACATTACTAATTAAAATTTTCGTAGTACGTAGTTTTAAAACAACTACAATGGTAATTTTTTAGAATAAAAGGTAATATTTCATCAATAAATCCGAAAAAATATACTGCATTGTCATTCAAACTGTAGGGATATCTAATGCAATGAATTTTGAACCGATTAATGGGTTTTTAGTTAACTTGATCCACACACAGTTTTTTCTGTTTGAAAATTAGTATTTCCACATCTTCAATCATAATTACCAAACACAATAGAATAAAATAAAAATAAAACAAACCACACGAATTCGCCTGTAATACTACCTGGGCTGTTAACGGTTACAACTTGATGGGCATTTATGCTATAGGAATAGCACGAATATTAGAACAGAACCGGTATGAAGCATAAACATAAATGACGTTGCTGGCCCAAGTCATATACTAATAGCATGCGTTTTTAACAGTTCCATCTAAGCAATGTTAAATCGTGTTTATTTTCGGGCCAGTAACACCATTTGTTTATGTTTATGATCCATACCCTGTCTATTCTAGAATTCGTGGACGCTGGACAGTGCTATCTTTGACTATCAATCCAATAGTCAATGGTGCTATACTGTCAGTACGGGCGGAAAGTATGGTTGGTTGGTTTGCTGGTGTTTCCGTTTTCCTAACGATGAATTTGCATTCCAAAACATGTACATTATTTGACGGTGATGTCTTAAATTTGGTCAAAATCAACACGTACTCTTAAAAGGTTCGCAATAATCGTAATTATCCCAATTTAGTGACGTAAACCATGAGTAAAAAAAAAATACCAACTATAAAAAAATTAAATGAAATGAAAAATCGTTTTTTTTAGGCAAATTTAGGGCCACATGGCCCTTTCTTACACTTAACCTGAATTTTCTATAAAAATGTCATTCCCTTAAAATGGTTTGGAAATTATAGATTTGTTAGGGTAATTTTATGTTTTTCAATTTTTACAGATCATTTCCAACAGTATATCTTGATAATCCTGGAGGCTATCCATTTTTATATTTGATGTTTTTTTTTAAATCTCGCATCCTGAGATATACGATATGATTCCTTCCTCTGCATCGGAATTTGGAAGTACCGTTTACCGTACACTTTGAGCTACAAACAAGACATAACAAAGTACAGGGCATTTCCATTTGTGAAGCAAACCGTACAAGAACTGCTCACTGGTTCACAAGATCAATTAATTACACTAAGAATAAAACGAAATTTGGGTACGGTATCGTATTTATGGCTGATTTATTAAACAAGTTGGAGATTGCCTGTGTAGCATTGTAATCTACTATGTTCAGCTGTTTCATCAGGCTCAGTTTTACCAGCTGATTTGTCAGTTCCCATAGTGTAAAAAAATTGTCATTTTTAGCGAATTCCTCATATAGGGAATAAGCTATTTATTATTTGACATCAAGAGACAGACCGTTTATATTGTCAGCCAGTGGTCCGGTACAGACCACGGTCCTGATGTGTTTGATGTGTTGATTGTTGACACTGTTGACAGTAACACGACACCGCGGGTAGCCACGACGCTAACCGGTCAGGCTGCATGTTATATCATTGTACTGTATCATGCAACCCCTGAGGCTGAAGAGGATAAAAGTTAGAAATATCAGCTCACTGGAACATCAACCCTTCTGTCAGCGGAGGGAGCGAAATAGCTCAGTTTAATACCTTGTATTGTTTCGACAGGCAGATATAGAAATTTAATTAGGTGGTGAGACTACTTAGACATGTGTGAGAGAATTTAAATTAAAAGTTTAGAATCAGAAAAGACTCACATTTGCCATGAGTATGGTTAATCTACATTTTTTGTAGTTACGTACCTTAACGCATTTGTAAAGAATGTAAATCTAGGGCGCTTTTGTTTAACTGCCCCATTAGATAGACTAGATAGACTCGAATAGGTAGACAACAAAATTATTCGCTGTGTTATAGGTTAGATTATATTGCATAGGTATATAATGCCTGAATTAAAGGCTTATTAAAGCCAGGGCAAGTGAATGAATGTGTTTTGAATGAATGACATGTAAGGGTCTAGTTCCAAAACATCAAAAAGCTTACCTTTTTCCAGCATCTAACTAGCGACCTTCTAATTACTATGCAGACACTTTCCACTCAACTACCCAGCTATATGTGATGTTCCCGTGAAGTTACAGTATATGTAGATCTCAAATCAAAAGTAAATTCAAAAACTACTAAATAGAATTTTTACCAAACATCTTGAAGTAACTACAGTACAACTAATACTATTCTTCTATGGGAAGCAAGCTGGTGTAATAGTAGAGAGCGGGACTGCAGTGTCCGAGGTCCCGGACTCAAATCCCACAAACCACCAAGGGATTTTTAGCCAAGTGATAATGCAGTAACCCTCTAGGACTAGTCTTAAATAATGTGTAAAAGGGTTCCGAGCTAGACCGTAGGGTTAACATCATACGGTTCCGTCCTATGTAAAGGTGGGACGTATAAAAAACACTATTTTCTTTAACGATAAACATTCGCACTTATTGGTTTGCCGAGGTAGACGGTATAGCAGTGAGTATAAGTTCCCACAACACCCGCCCACGGCCCGTATATCGTTCAATTGAAAGTTAGAAGCTATTGAAGGTGGGTCCATCTTCCAATTGTACCACAAAGCTTCACACAAAGACCCAGTTTGTACCAATTGTTGCAACGACGGGATTGTTATCGCTACTTTCTATATCGAACAGGCTGGTGTCAGTTAACTGATAACTCAACTTTTATAAAAATTACTGTAAAAGATTTTGTCTTGGGGAGTTTGATTGACACAACTGACCAATATTTAATTTGTTTTACTAATATGTGAATTTAATTGATTTGTTTATTAATTTCCAGAACGACACTATAAATGTCAAGTATTGCTGATCATGAAAGTTATTTAGGTCACGGGGTTAAAATAACTGATCCTTAATTATAGGAATGTAAAAAAAAAAACGTATTCCCGCACTATCCGATATATTGAAACTATACTGCAAACATAAGACGGCAAATATGTAAAAATGTTACAATGATTGATCGATTTCGACAATTCATCTTCAGGCACGATCGGAGACTCCCGGACAATCATCGTAACATATTTTATATACGTATTTGTATTAACGTCATGTAAATGTTTACAATACAAGTGCAATTGTATCACATTTTGTTAGACGTATCTGTTATATTCCTATACATTAGCACCAACACGTAAAATTCGAATCAAAAGTTACTTAAATTGCCCTAATTAAAGTTTGCTAATAAATTGTGTAATCACAAGCAGCAAAATCGTGTGTATTGCTTGTATTTAGAACTTATTTCATAATCTGAAAGAAAATAGCACTTAAACTCTGGTATGCTGCAATGTGTAAAAGTCTAACACAATTTTACACGTCCCATTTTTACACGATTCTAGGAGTGATGTTGGAATGTTCTCAATTGGTGTGGGATAGACTTCCGCGGTCTTGCCGAGTGTACTCCGATCTTGCCTTCAATGTTGCATAGTATTTTTGTGGCTAATTCTGTATGGGGTTTTCATTTTCTATAAATTAAAAAAGCAAGGTGGTTTAAGTATGTAAAAGTAAACATGTTGCTCGAAATTGATATTCAATTGTTGAAAAAAGGCTTTTTGAGAGTCAACCAAGTAAACACAAATTGTTCCTATTGGTTTGATTTGATTGGTTGAGATAGTTTACTGCTCATGTGGTTGATTGTTGATTTACAATCAGCTGATTTAATAGAAAATCCGACACGATAGCGGTTCACAAAACCTCGAACAATAACTGCCACTAGTAGAGGGTATATGTTGATTTGGAACTTTTTTTTTAATGAACGAGAAATTTTGGTTCTGATTCAATGATTCTAAATTGTAAGGGAATCGTAAACTTAAAAGTTTGAAACTCGCAATTTCACGTTTTGCTTAACAGCTGGACCTGGATGAATTAGCCAGGATATGACGTCATAAAACAGCTGTTTAGGTCGGTCGTTACCGTATTCTGTGGAAGCACTTACATACGTAATTAACCTTTTAACTCTCGCAGTCGCTTCGTTCTTTATCTTTGCAGTCTGCAATGTGAAGACAATTAATCCCACCTACACATCTCTCACACTCTTTTAGTATTTAAATTAGATTTCACTGTACATATTTAAGTTACAAAATTGTTCTCAGTGATTGCAAGATGTAATGTTTTTTAAATTTAAGCAAAAATATCTAAAATGGCATTGTATACCATACTCTGTTTTTAGCAGATGGTATTTTCAACTACCCTTTTCAGAGAAAATGTCTCAATTACTTAATAGTTTGCCCTAACTACCATTAATGGCTGTAGGGATAATTTTCACGTCTGCAAGATTGGAACAGATGTCATTAATAATACGCTATTTGGCCAGGAGTAGGCACGGCAGTTTAGCCGGTTTATTGCTGGCAATTACTTAATTACTCTCTCTCCCCTATCGTTTGCGTGTCTCATTCTGTACAAGCCAATTGCTTCGGCTAACAATTTGACTTGTTTAGACCCATTGACATGAAACTATTGAGTTTGGTAACAGCTTGTAGACCTTTCATCTCATATTGCACAATTTGAAGCGGTGTTAGTTTTATAAACTACGTTTGAAAGCAATTATGTCAAAATTGCTTTCTATTATTTTAAGTTAAATTTTACAGTTGTGTGAGTTTGTTACTCTTTAATCTCCACCTGCAGGAGCAAATATAATTTTAACTTGTAAATTTATATTTTATTTGTTTAGTTTTTAGGCTGTACCTACGGTAAATGTTCGAAAACATTGCCATTAGCTGATAGTGGATTAATATTTTGCCTCGTATATATTTTCTTGAAGATATTTCCAGAAAATGTTTTAATTAGAAGTAGAAATATTATTTATGTTTCAGTAATTTTCTGTGGATGCACGGAAGTACCCAGCCCAGTGTTCAAGAGTAGACCTACAACAATAAAAACGTTTCTACATGACACTGTGCTCCTACCCTGCTATGTTGAAAATTTAGGTATGCCACAACAATGACTACGACTACTACTTGTACACATTATTTTTAGAGGATTAATGAAGTAACACCGACTACTTGTACACATTATTTTTAGAGGATTAATGAAGTAACACCGTTAACATTGTTAAACTACAGTCTACCTCAGTTGAACTGTATATTTTTATTATGATTATTGTTAATGCATATACATTAGATTAGTTTTCTTGTATGCAGGGATGCTGTAACATACCAGGATACATATTCTAAGGTGAAAAGTGAATTGTTGTACGAATAATGATTTTTTTTTTTCAAAAACCTATTCACTTTCTTTGTACTTAAAAAATAATCTCTGTTTATTTTGGTAAAAACAATCTCAGTTATAAAAACAAAAATATTATTGACTCAATTCATTTTGCATTTTTTCACTCTTCTTCCCAAAAACACTTAACTTGCAGTTCTAGGACAGTGAGACTTAGTTCAATGATTTTTTTTAAATCAAACACTACGTGGTGTGGAAAACTAAAACTAAGCAAAGCACTCCCAAAAAAGCCCTCATTATACATCAAATACCAAGTTCTGAGCAATGCTTTCGCATATCTATAGCTTGCTAGCGCTGATTTCTGGACAATAACGCTTTCAGCTCTGGTATGTTGTGCCAGAAATATACTTTGTAGAAGGAAGAGCCTGAACAGTGAGCACTGTGTGGAAATTCCTGTTGCACATGGTACAAGGTCTTTCTCCATCTTGAGAGTTAGAGTACATGAGGACTAGGGGACGGTGTTGGACTTTGGCCTAGACACCATTAAATGTACCATTGAATGTTTCCTCTGTGCATCACTTTTCTGTGGTGTTGTGCATGATTGTAAATGCCGAATGACAGTAAATTACGGTTGATTAATATGATAATATTTGTTTGAAGGTGAGAGCAACATCAGGTGGTGGAAGGACAGTGTGTTGCTGTCAGACTCCAAGGATCCCTCTGTGATTCCTCCGCCAAACATCAGAGTGTTCCCCAACCAGACGCTGGAGGTGGCGGATCTCAAGGACTCTGACACTGGGGACTACATCTGTCAGGTACGAAAACTCACTATTTATAGGCAGAAATACATCAAGTACGTCAATTGGGAGACATTTTCTTAATTATGGCATACAAAGTCACAGATTAAAAAAAAAAACAGCAGCAGTGCATTAGATTGTAGCTTTGACTATTCAATAGTCAATGATTGCAGTCAAACATTTGTCAACGTTGAAAAAAAAATTGTGAAAATTACATAACCTTACTTCTAACAATTTTGCCATGCACATTGCACATACCTTTTTGTCACTTTATAAAATTTACAAGTACTGTGTTTTTATGCAGACTATTTCTATACATTTAATATAAACTGCTACCTGTACACCAACAACAATTTGAACATTCTCATTTTCTTTACACAAATTTGCTTTTAAATAATGTTAACAAAGATGTATAAAAACAACAGATTGAAAGGCATTTTGGCTGAAACGGCCTAAACTATGGAAAATACCCAGTATTTTTCACTCTGAATTCGAAAAAGGCTATCAGTAGAAAAAAATCTTCACACCTTTTTTCCCTTGAAGCATTTGTCACTGCAAGAACTGGGGCTCGCTTTGAAACTACAATTAACCAGAACCTTTCATTTAACTAATTTTTTTTTCTAAATGAAATAAAACTTTCTGGAAACTCAGGACTTTTTCCGATTGAAAAGGATTAACTTATATTTTTGGTTTTAGCATGGAACCATTCCATTTCTTGAGGAATTCATTAAGGAGACACATTAATGTGATTTTTATTAGGGTGAGTTACATTGAACTTTTGCCATAAACAATATTTATATTAAAATGTTAGTTAGGAGTAAGACCAAAATTAATCTATTCTGACACTTTATAAATCATCATCTAATGTACAAAAAAGACACAAAGTATGAAGATTGCTGAAGTATAAAAATATTTGGCAGGTTGTTCGGCCAGAGCCTTGGAACCCTGTGAATCAAGCTCACGCCATAGAGGTTTTGGGTATGTATAATCATTATTATTCCTTAGTTGGTTTCCTAGCCCAAAACAAAAAGTATACCGTATAGTTATACCTATTCTAAAGAAGCCCTAAAAGTCTCTTTCCAAATATCAAAACCTAGCTCAAAACTAACTTATTAATATTGAAAAAAGTTAAGCAAAAAACTGTTTATTTTTTATTATTTTTACATCTCACTGTCATGTTAAAGGTGTAGCAAGTTGTTAGATTTTGTGATTGTATATTCTGTAACATGGTGGATGCAAAGCTGTCAAATATTGTTTTTCTTTCAAACGTGAACTTTTCAATAAATTAAAAGTAAACCTATTGAACTAACTGCAGCTTTTTATGTTACACATGACTAATTATTGTGTCACTTAAAATAACAAGAAAATAAAATTTGTTCATTAGCACTATCTGAGAGTTATGTCTTTAGTTTGGCAAAAACAGTTAATTGACTTCAGCTGATGTTTGTGTATGGTATTGTACAGTTCCACCACACATCAAGACGATGCCGGAGGGTGGAGTGCTGGAGGTTGAGCTAGGACAGGAGGTAGTGATGGGCTGCATAGTTACAGGAGTCCCTCCTCCGATAGTTACCTGGTCCTTCAAGGTGAGAAAGAGATTACTGGATCTAGCAATTTATAGTACCCATGTAGCACAGATGGTTGGGCCAACGTTGGTAAATTGTGGAGCCACACAGTTGGCCAACGGTAGAAATGTCACCTCTTTAAACTGTTTTCCAGCCAACCATTGTCCAACAATGGCCCAACCGTTTTATTTCACACAAAATAATAAAGATTTAGTACGTAAAGCATAATTATTAGTTGAGTAAATTGATTAAATAGTTCATAAAAACAAATTTTGAAAAAAAGCTAGAACAACATTTTTTGGCCCAGACGGGTCTCGAACCCGGGTCTTTCGACTTATGAGCCTCTTACCTTACCACTGAGCTATCTGTGATCGTTGATAAAGAGAGTTTTCAAGTGGTGAAAGAGTAGCCGACAGTTGCAATGGTCACAATACTTCAAACATTTTTGATACTACACAGTATAATATTATTCTGTTAATCTGTTAAGGCATCATAAGTAGTTATATTTTATTTTTTTGGAGTTAGAGAGGATACTGGTATTTGAATATAGATTAATTAATTACCGTTAGATTATTATAATGCTATTATAATTAACTGTTATATGATTAATTACTCTTTCCCCTTAAATTGTTGCAAATAAGTTAAAGAATATTAATTTAAAAAATATTTGCATTATTATAATTATTAAAATTCATTGTTGTAGCCCCGGAACTGTAATATATAAAATATCTGGTTTTACAATACCTTCATCAGTTCCAAAAACTTTTGGAAACTTTTGGAACTGATAAAGGTATTGTAAAACCAGATATTTTATTATAATTATGTTGTGAAAGCTAGACCCAGAGAATGAAAGTCGTGTAAACTCAACTATGGACCATCGTTTAAAAACAAAAGTATCTTTTGTTGGTCCAACGGAGTGAAAAACGGTTGGACAACGGTTGGCTTGATGTATGATACCCAGCAATGCATATTAATGTATTTCATTAACAATGAACCAATGTTGGTCCACAGTTGTAAATATTGGTTGGCCCAACTACGAGATATACAGTTGGACAACGGTTGGTTGGTTGTGGAAGCTCCAACCAACCATCGACCAACTGTTCCACAGTTGGCCAACGTTGGCCCAACCATCTGTGCTACGTGGGTACAGTAGCTATGGAAAATGTTATCAACTGCTAGTTGTACTGTGTGTAGTTCCGCAGAGTTCACACAGTTAATGCCTGAGGATGTTGAATATTATCATCATTTCAAATAACATAAATATACAAAGTTGGTGTTGGCCTCCAGATGTGTACACATCCATACAACTACACAAAAACACATACTTCAGAAAGACATCAATTCATAAACCACTATTAATAGTCTATCTGGTATTTATAACTCAAGTGGCACCAAATTTTCCATTAATATAGTTCAGCTTACGATATACCTAATTTTTGACACACAACAATCCATAGCAAAAATATCCATATGTACATCGTCATATCTTACAACTCTCAAATACAATGTACAACATTCAAAACATACAGTTTAATTAATTATCTGTTGAAATTCTAAGGATTTAGAGTGAAATTTGAACTCAACTAAAACTTACAAACGATAAGTGATATTGATTTATAGCTAGTGTTACCAAGCAAACATTTCTTAACCAAAACCAACCTTTTTTCTATTCAGGGAAAAGATATGGAGTTGATCAACAACCGAGCAACTCTGAGGTTTACGGCAACTGATCGTAAAATGTCTGGCAACTACCAATGTACGGCAAGCAATGGTGTTAGTGACTCAACGGCTGCAAACATCAAACTTAAAGTTCTCTGTAAGTAACCAATACAACTCAACCTTGTACTACAGATATTCAGTACAATATGAGTCGTTGAGCATGTCAAAAACATGCACATGGCTTCCATCACAGCGAATTACTGCCCTATATAGTGCCTTAATCCTATTGCTATTATTCACTCTATGTTAAAAAGTTGTTTATTTTTCCTATGATTTTTTCCCCTAATACAGTATTACCTCTCTTGATTACAGATCGACCAGAAGTAGGAGCCGAGCGCTTGTGGGTACATTCTGCTCCTGGTGAACGAGCTGAAATCAGTTGTACAGTCCATGCTGATCCTGAGGCAAAAGTAAGCAAAGAGTTGTCATTGATATTTAAACAAAAGGTTGCTTAAAGATTGCATACAGTGATTAACCATGAAAGATAAAGTTTTTAATTTATAAAAATAACATGTACCTATGCATTTTTATTTACTGGTTGCATTAATGATTTTAGTCTTTAGTGATGTACAAAACAGTTCAGTAATAAATCAGATCGGAAATGTTTAGTGTGAGTGTTGAGAAACTCAATATAAATCCATATAATCCATGTTTTGGTTTTCCAATCTCTAGACACTTTTGTATTTTAAAAATTTTGTCAGCTTAGACAAAGTATGTGATAGAAGGAAAATGTGAATTTAATTATTACATCTCCATTTCTATCCATACGCGTGGCTGTGATGCTGTATTCTTTAAGAACTATGTTTAACATTATTTAAGATCAGGATAACCTCAGGGCAACAATTAATCATTGCTTATTTATTACAAAACAAATTAACTCTCCAAAAAGTTCAAAACATATTGAAAAATATTTTGAACAACAACAAACAAACTTGTGGCTACTGGAGTAGCAGGTGTTCTTTTGGAATATTTTTGCGAAAATCAATACTTTTTAAAATCATGCACTGAAAATAATATATTTAACACACAAGTTGTCTAGGTGGAGTGGTTCCTGGATGAAAGAGCCGTAGAGTTGGGTGACGGACGTATCATGGCGTACAGGGAAGGAGACAAACACAAACTGATCATCAAAAGAGTGACCGTCGGTGATCTCGGGCTCTTCACCTGCAGAGCGACTAACATGTTCGGACGTGCGCAACAGAGCATCCATCTATCAGGTGAACTGAATAAGGCTTTATCTTGAGCTGGTTATTAACTGTTTGATCGATTATAGAAATGTTTAAGTTGGACAAAAAGGCTTTTAGTCTTTGTGTATCATAGCTTGAATGAGCTTTTTAGAGTGTGCTATACTTTGCTTTGTTCAAAATTACATTTTCTCCCCTTTATTTTTGTTACTGTACTTACGTAGTTGATTCAATAATAGAAACTATAGCTTACAACAGAAACCAATAATTTACTTCAGCACACTTTGTTGCTTGGATGGCTCCATTAAACTACATTCATTTATATACAATGGGAAAACTTTAACATGTCATTAAAAAGTATAGTTTCATCCATAATCAAAGGTAATAGTCTAATTTACGTTTAAGCTGGGTTTTCCTAGGCGCGTAGTCGGCCAGCGGAGAGAGGAACGCGGAGAGCGGACTCAGCTTGTCTTAGGTAATTTAATGTTACTGTTTTCCTAGCAGCGGAGCGGAATGCCATGTTAATTTCAATTCCGCTCTCCGTTGTCCGCTCTCCGCTGGCCGACTCCGCGTCTAGGAAAACCCAGCTTTAGAAATTCTGAAACAGCAATAATTATAAATAATTGATTTGTTGCGAATAAGACCCAAGCCAATAAATTAAACGACAAAATTTAAAAATTTATGGAAGATATTTTTAATTTAGTTTATTTATTTTACTTGTACACCTGTATAGCTGTGTATAGGATATTCGAAGCGCTTGTTAGCATTGGGATTGGTATTAAAGATTAAGATTGCACATTTTGGTTTTTTTATAAGTAACATACATTATAGACTAGTATACTGTATGTTGAATGGTCAATTGTCAATTGGTCATATGTAAATTGTATGAGGCATATTTTGATGCATTTGAGCATCGAAATATGCCTCCTCTTAGTATTGTCTCATAAGAACCTCCTAAATATATAAAAATTTACAATACTTATTAAAGATATGTTAATTTGCACTAAAACCAAACTCATTTGGTACTTTTTCATCGGTTGCTATTCAAAACATAAATATGTATGAACTAACCCCTTATATGTGATAAAGTTATCATTTACTTATCAATTTGTAATCTTAATTACTTCTAATGTAAAGGATTTGAAATTAATTTTTATTTGAAATAATATTAACAGTAATATGACTTAATTATTTTACAGGAGTGGCAAATCCTGCGGAGTTCAAGAGAGGCCCGAGACAGTCCAACTTGCACAACTACACACTCATCTGGGAGGTGGAAAGTTACTCACCAATCATAGAGTACAAGCTCATGTTCAGGAAACATCAGGTGCAGATTTTTAATATAAAAATATTGTGTTTAGTAATGATAAGTAACATAAATGTGGTTTGATTGAAAAGGCTGTAAGGGCCTCTCCAACCTTTCACATTTACAGACAGCTGCAGGAATCTTTTAGGTAACAACTCTCTATGGATTAACAACTCACTCACTGTCTCCTGGTCCCATACACTCACAGTCCTATACTGTGCCTGGATTGCAGGGCTACATGGTGTTATAACCTACAACATGTTTACAGAGTTCATCAGAACAAACAGACTGGGCAGAGATGATAGTGCCCGCTGACTCACTGTCTCCTGGTCCCATACACTCACAGTCCTACACTGTGCCTGGACTGCAGGGCTCCATGGTATACGAGGCTGCCGTCCTGTCACGGAACAGGTTTGGCTGGAGTCGACCCTCACACATATTCAGATTCGCTACCAAAGGAAAAGGTAAAATTTCCAGCTTAGGACGATTTTTATTAAATAACTGGCAACAACTTTAACTTTTTGGGGTGGAATGTCTAGTTGTGTCAATAGTCAAAGCTATTATGTTTCTACTTTATTTTTTATATATCATCCTGATAAATTATTATAATTTTTTATTACACATCCTACATTATCTACATTTCTAGCTAAAGAAGTCCCAAAAAACTTATGGTACATGAGAAATCAATAAATGAGATAATTGCTTTTAATTTTTACCCCACTGGAGGAAGTTGAAGTATGAAACACATACTACTGTACTTCATTATGTAAACTTTTATAATTATCATTATAAGCTTACCAGTACATATTTCTTAACAAATAATAATAAATTGAAATTTTCATTTGAAACTTTGTGTTATTTTTTTTACAACTTTCTATTACTGCTTCATTTTTAATTTTCTATATTGCTACATACATATTTTTGAAATATAATTTGCCAGCTTTTTTTACAACTCTTTTTGTCTACTGTACACTTGACACCTTCCCCAGGAGTAAACAATGTCCTACAAATTGTGTTATATGTCAATATGTCCTACCTCCTACCTGGACTTTTTCTAAAGATCCCTGAGAATTGATAGCTGCTATTTCTGATTTCTGTATTTAAAAAATAACAATCCTAGCCTAAAGCATGTTCTCAAACAAAACTATATAAAATATAGACTGATATTTAGCGGTATTCTGACACCGGTAAGTTAACACCGGTTGACCATATGTTACTGTAGACTAAATATAATTTACAGAGTTAGCAGAATCCACCTCTCACGGAGAACACCTCGTCACTAGTGAAGATCCAACATTCGTTGTGTTGCAAAGTAAGATTTCCATCTCAGGATTTGCAACTCTGTCATCTATTTTTGATTTATTAATTTTCATCTAACACTCACTCTTCTGTGGTCTTTGGGCCTTGTATATACAACTCTGCACAGTACAATTACTTGTTACCTATACACTAAACATAACTTATTATTTACCCATAAAAATTTGTTGAGATTTTTGTCATTTGATCCCTCTTATCACAGATGGGAATGTGTGGATAAAGTGAAAACTTTATTTTGTAAATATTAGTGACCAAGCACACAAAACCTTGTATTAAATCTAATTTTAGAATTATTATCCTTCAGATGTTAAGAGCTGTGTCACTTCATAAAAAAAAAAAAAACAATATTGAAATTGTCACTTGTTGCAAGCTACCTTTTAGATTACTTATTTGGATCAAATTTTAAATTTTACGGGTTTTTTATTCTCTCGATAACTATTACGATTAGGCATACAAAAACAGTTTAATATGTACCGGTACAAATTTTGTCTTCTAAGCTCTAAGTGCAATCACGCTAACTCGTTCAAATAAATGTATAGTCTCACACGTTTGTATCGGATTTAAACAAATTACGAGGGGTTTTTACTCAAGTTACGTTGCTAACTGACACATGTATTGAACAACAGGTGTTTTTAGCCTATGGGGACATCAATACAAAAGAGTAAATTGGTCCCGAGTCTAAAGGTCTTACCATGAGACCAACTGTAAAACTAATAGCTGATTATTATTCCCTATGTGGGAAATTCGCTAGGCTAATAAAATTATGCATGTTGCTCAAAGTATAGCATAACATGATAAAATTACAGTTTAAACATTCAGAACATTGGAACATGATTACACATTTTTTTACTAGTTGAGGCGAACAGCATATCAGAGGCAACAGTTTTAGTTATTGTTTATTTCAAAACGTTTTAATTGATGAAACCCTGTTTATATGTATTGAAGATGATTATAATATGTGTCATGTTGACAGATCTGAGTGTCAAAGAAGAAGATCTACCAGAGTTTGAGGAAGAAGAAGATGCCAAAGAGCGTGAAATGATAGCATCAAAAATTGAAAATGAGCAAAGAGGTTCGTATACACACTAAATATTACCATAGATAAAACATACTTCCTTAGTAGATTTCTCATCCTTGGAACAGCTCAAGATAATTTTATTGTTAGTTCTGTCCGTGCACTCTACATAGAGGTTGTGTTTTGTTTACAATTTGTTTCTTGTTTTTCAATAATTTAAAACCTTGTTAGTATGTAATGACAAGGGGGGGAGGAGCAGGAGAGCGATAGGTAACAACGAATAGAATTTTGCTGTAGACACCAGCGACTGGTGCTAGACACCAGACACCACTTAAGTGTACCATTGAATATATCCTCTATCTTACTTCTCCGGCTATAATTCTAATTGCCTTCTTTTGGAGCCTAAATATTTTGTAGCTTGATTATTGTTCTGAGACAAAAATTGCTGAAGAATGTATTTTGTTATTTAAAAATACATATTCTTTATGATTACAGAATGTTTATTTTCAGGTGAAGCATCCCACCTAGGCCATGAGATTAGCAGTGGTTCTCTTCCATTCCTCAGTCTAGTCTCATTTTGTATATCTTCATTGTCTCTCTTGTGCCTATGATTTTGTTTTCTTCAACGCTTGTAAATAATTGTAAGATATTGTGTACAGTAAATATAGTTTTTCATTAATTTATTATTGTGTGTTTGGTGCCTTATGTAGTTCCTTTATGTTTGGTACTATAACACTGTTCACTATTGTTTACAATAATATTGTGGCTTAGTTTTTCATTACTGGACTACAAATTACAAGTGACAAGCGAGAATATCACAGATGCTGTTTATAAAATCGAAGGTTTGATCTTAAAATGTGTGTCAGCTACTTTAAAGTAACAGTACTGTTCTTATTTGCTGTGTTCTGTGTTATTTTACTCCTCCATTTAAAATGTTACAGTATTTTTACAAAGAGTTTAAGCATTAAAAATAGTTCATGGCTTTTTTTAAATACAAAGTACCTATTTTTCTTTCTAAATTCACAAGCCTTTCCCGCCCAATCTCATGATTAATTCTCTGAAATGGAAGATCTTCTGCAGAGTACCTACTCCTTAAGAGGCAGTATCCTAAAGAGAGAGCTTGACAGTATTATTAAAGCTTTCTGGTAAATGAGAGCTTTTTAGACCATATACAGCAGGTCAGTTGTCATTACAGGTTTACCACAGTAATAACTAAATGTGGCATATCAAAAATATCAAAAACCCAACCAAACAACAACAAATTTAACAACAAATAATAATAAATCATTTTTAATAACAAATTTGACAAATTTACAATAGAATCTTCCATCAAAATAAAAAAATTAAATAGTCATAAAATGTTAAAAGTATCATGTAAAATCATGTATATGGATAACATTAAGCTACTTATATTTAAGTTTATTGTTACTGTGTCTAATAGGCAATGTTTATTATACTCAGTTATTAAACAGTTTATTAAACTCAGTTTTCAAAATAAAATATAGAAATAATAATTTTATCTGTTTCTAAAATATGCCAGGTGTTCTTGCAAAGGCTAAGATGATATTGAGTTGGCCTAGGATTAAGCTCGGTCCATAGTCAGTTTTTACGAAACCAATAACGCATCAGGGTGGATTTGAACATCAGGCTCCTTTATGCTGAACATCCAAAAGGAGGAGCCTGTGGGTATAACTTACAACCTTACTGTACAACAACCCAAAGCTCATGGCAAGTGCATACTTCCCAGGGAGCATTATCCTAAACAAGCAGCAGCAGAGCCAAAGGGTGAGGAGTCCTCTTTCTTGCTGTAGTTGCTACCCAAGCCAAGCACACCTGCAAGCAAACAGCTGGTGTGTGTCAAATCGTAACACACAGTCCAGTTAGGGACCTTAAGTTTGCTCAGCTTTTACAATTGAAATTCACCTCTGTGCCTGACAAATTAACACCTGTTTTGTCTTCAACAAGCTGCTGGTAGGACATTTTTCTAGTGTCGAACAAAGTTCCAGTTCCAGCACCCATGAATTTGTATTATGTTAAGGCTCTGGATACATTAAATAATAATACGAGTATGAATAAATTCTTAAAAACGTCCAAAACTTGTGAACATCTTCCAGAAGAGTCCAAGCATACGACAGAGAGGTGAGGTGCCAAACGGTTGAGCCCATTTGTTTATTTATGGTTACTGTTATTTGGGAAATGGAGGCACAAATTGTTTGGTTCATAGAGATTTAACTAGGAGGACCACTATTACTTTATTGTTTGCTGTGTTGGCTCATGAAGGTTAAAAGAAGCGTGAGAGTGAAACCTAAACAAAACAGGACATACATCACATACATCATCAAGACAATAAAAACTAGCTCTTCTTTTTCAGTGACCAGTTTTTAGCTGATTCTCCGATTGGGAAGTACAGTAGCAAGGTGGCATGGTAAGATCTAGGGACCGATTTACTTTTTTATATTGATGTCTCCAGAGGCTAAAAACATTATTTTTTTTAAATGTTCTATATAATATGTGTCCGTGAACGCGATAACTTGGGTTAATTAATTCTGGTCCAATTCCAAGAAATTTTGGTTGAAGGGTCAGAGCGTTAAGCTGGATTTTCCTAGGCGCTGAAGCGGAGAGAGGAACGCGGAGAGCGGACTCCACTTTTAGCACACATTTAGGTAAGAAGCGGAGCGGAATGCCATTTCTTTTCTGCTCATCTCCCCGTTCCTCTCTCTGCTCTCCGCTTCCGCACCTAGGAAACCCCAGCTTAATAAACTTTAATGAGTTTGCATACCAGCATGATCGGACCATGGACCATGGACCAGGATTTTATGGGGTGAAAATTTGTTTTCCCATTTTTCACTCCTCATAACATACAACTTTCCAACTTATCTGTAAACTATTTTAAAGAGCTTTGAAAAAAATTAATAAATAATTTGGTACATTGAAGTGTTTTTGTATGGATATTTGTTACAGAGAAAACTAAAAAATTATACATAAATTCCCATGTGTTATTCTTATGCAAATTAAGTAAACTGTTATAGTTTGCTTGTTTATGTTGATCACATATTCGGCAAATTTTATTTCAACCTAGGCCTATACTATATTTTAACATTACTATACTATTTTAGTCATGACTCATCTTCCGGCGTCGCCACACGTGTCCCCCGTGATTAATTACACTGGCCAGTTATTACTATATTATATTCGTTTTTTGTGTTTTTCGTGTTCGTGTATGTGTTTTATGTGTATCGACGAATCTAACCAAATTGGTTAGATGACCTATTGACGTTTTTGTGAACCTGAAGATGGACTTATTTTCAAGTCCGAAACTATAGTAGTGTAATACTGAAGAAGGATCACTTGACGAAGCCAGGTAACTTAAACCATTCAGCTTATATTTTAACATTGGTCGAAAAAACACTTTTTAAACCTTCCCCATAGCAGCAAACCTAAAGCTTAAATTTTAATTAATGATATTTTAGTATGGAATTAATGTAACATTAATTTATATTTAAATATATTAATTGCGTGTTTATGGAATGGACATATTTTAGTGTAAATCCAATTGGAAAAAATTGACATTCGCTTAGTTAGCAGGTTTGCTGTGGCAGGGGTATTTCATTTAATACTTTAATACTTTTCAATGAAATGCCGACCATAGAAAGTAGTACCGGTACTCATCTAGTGCGGACGTTAATCCACACCAGGGAGTATCATATCCACAGTGCATGCCTATGAATTTCCACAATTCGTGACCTCCTAGTAGTTGGATTACAGGACGTTGCCACCATTTCCGTTTGCAATAAGTAATTAAACATGCTTCAGACGCTTTTATGTGCGGACTGAAGCGTAAAAGGGTTCGGTCCCAGATTAGGAGAGCACAAGTTCACATGTACAGAAACCTTATACTGACGTCATAAATATCGAATATCGATTGTACCGGGTGGTTACGGGTTTTTCTTCGGAATGTAAGTATCGGTTGCACCGAATAAGTAAAGGGGTTTTTTGTTGTAACACTTTATTTGACGAATTGAATACTCTCGGTAGTTTATCCATTATAAATCAAATAGTAGAAAATACAATAATATTCGTTACAGGCTGGGAATAAAATAATTACTGATACTTTGGATTGAACATCTAAGATGTTTGCAATTGTTTTCGTATTTACCTGACTTATAAAATAAAAACTTGAGTTCACAGGACGTTGAATACTAAGAATTTATTTCATAGCATCCACAATAATACAATAACTGTAATTAAAGTAGACGAATTACAGGAATTATTATCGATTCTAGAAGAGAGTGAAATAATAATTGTAACTTTGACATGTTTTGACATGACGGTGCAACCGATACTTACATCCCGAAGACAAACCCGTAACCACCCGGTACAATCGATATATACATTCGATATTTATGACGTCAGTATAAGGTTTCTGTACATGTGAACTTGTGCTCTCCCCCAGATTAGGACCGCCGGTTAAATGGGCATACGGGAGGGACGATGGCTAAAGGTGTGGTGACGTCATAGTGGCTAATGTCTTCTCTTGAGGCAACACGATTACCGTAACGAGACGATGTGTTTCCAGCTCCAGCGGCGATCGTGGCATAGTTGGTAGCGTTTCGGACTTTCAGTTCGAAATCATCCTGGGAACTATATTTTTGCCAAAGATTTTGCTTTGAATGCGATTACTTCTTAACTTAGAATTTGAAGCATTTATAATTTTATTTATGAACAGTACTTTTTTTTAATAGTAAACCTATATTCGATTTTTATTTCATATCTTTTAGCGAATTTCCCTATAGGGAAGTAGCTATTACCGTAGGTGGCACGGTAAGACCTAGACCCGGGACCGATTTACTTTTTCATTTTGATGTCCCCAGAGGCCAAAAACACCATTCGTTCAAATTTTTATATATGTATATATATATATATATATATATATAGACTTATTTATATATATATATATATACGTCCGTGAACGCGATAACTTGAGTAATTTTTGTCCGATTTTGATGAAATTTGGTTTAAAGGTGTAAAGCGGGATAAACTTGAATGAGTTCGCGAACCAGCACGATCGGACCATGGGAACGGGGCTTTACGGGGGGTTTTATAGGGTAAAAATTGGTTTTTCTCACTTTTGACCCTCAAAACACAAAATTTCCCGATTTCTCTTTAGACCTTTTTAAAGAGCTTAAAAAAACAAATAATTTAGTATGTAAAAGTATTTTTGTTCGATTGTTAGTAACGGAGAAAATTTAAAAAATTGTAAATTTAAAATTCCCATGTTATTCTTATGGAGAATATTGTCAAATGTTGTAGTTTGCTTGTTTATGGATATATTTTGATCAAACTTGGCAAATTTATTTATTTTGTACTAAGCTATCAATATTTTACTCAAAAACACACTTTATTAGTTTTCTTGTAGCAGCAAACCTAGGTACTCGTTAAACCTAATGTTTTTAAAATATATTTAACTGAAAATCAATTCAGACAAATGGAAATTCGCTTAGTCGGCAGGTTTGCTGCGGCGGGGGTATTTTATATTATCAGCAAGTTTGATTGGTTAGGTTATGATAGTTAATTTTATAATACTAAATTTTAAAATTAATTTTATAATTAAAAATTATAAGTACACATTCAATTGATTTTTATCCTGTTCCTATATCTTTTTATATTATCAGCAAGTTTGGTTGGTTAGGTTAGGTTATGACAGTTAAATTTTATAATAAAAAATCTTAAATTAATTTATGATTAAAAAAATTATTTTATAATTAAAAAGTTAATTTTATAGCTAAAATGTATAAAATTAATTTCAATTTTTTCAACTTAGCGGTTCTAGCGGCGAACGCTGGCACTACAAGATATGTTAGCCATAATCCCTCCCGTGTGCCCCACCGACCGGTTACCGGTTGCCTGTTTCCCCCACGGGAGATGTTTAGAATTTTTCCGCGATCACAGTTGACACAACGTCTACATGACAAGACCGTGGGAGATATTAATGATTTTGCCACAATTACGGAAGACGATGACAATGTTTTCGTTACAGTGGATGATGTTGATGATGGTCAGAATTTGGCCGTGATCGCGTCACGGGAGATCATGCGATGATGTTGATTTGACGTCCACGATATCTAAATTTCTAAAAAACTAATGAAACAAATAACTTAGTATATATAAATAATCTTTACACAAACCAACAGACCAAGTAAAGCTTAAAAAACTGTCTTCAGCTGATCTATAAGAAAAACAATCCTAGGGGGAGAATATTTAATCTATGGTATTGACATTTGAGTTGTATTGGTAAGTCGAAACCGAAACTCACGGTTTGTCTCAGCTCGAGTGCAGTGCAGACGGCAGATGTCGGTCTTTTTGTCATGTCGTCATAAAAGTCATCATAACTTGTGTTGTGTGTGGGGTGGAAAAAACCAGACTTCTCTAACTTAACGGCGATATGAAATGTTAGCTTAGTAATAATTTTTATTTATACTGTAAAATGTGACGTCATTATTTAAAACAACTTTTGTTCTTTATTAGACTTGCGTTTTTTAGTAGTACGACTATGAATGTTAGTGTTTGTTAGTGCTATTATTCGAGTGAACGAACGTGAACACCTACCTAACCTAAGCCCGTGACATTTATTGGTGTTGAAAGCAAATTAATTCATGAACAAGAAAGATCCTTGTAAAATTCATGCGTGTGCGATTCAGAAGTGTTTAAAAGGTTCGTTTTCCTGTGAATATTTTCAATAAGATTTTACACATCCCAGGCTAGATTATTAGGCTAGATTTAAGACTTCCAATTATTAGGTTATAAATTCCGATTATTAGGTAATAAGACTTCCGTTCCTACAATCGCCTCTGTTCATGAAAGCTTTTACGTGAAAATGCTATCCAGAGAATAATTGCTTAAGTTAAAACTGATAGGCCATAGCGCCTATTCGGGTAACTTAGGTAGGCTAAAGTTCCACAGAGAGGATGAAACGTTCATTCTCAATATAACTTTTAAATTGGCCAAATATTATTTTTTATGCTATAATTTACGCTAAGTAAGGCTATTTCTACTAGAGAGCCACTCACCTAGGCTGTTTCTGTACTGTTTATTAACTGGGCTACGTTAATATCACTGCAGCATTAAGGCTAGGTTTTTAGTTATGACAATGACACACAAGGTAGGGCCTATTTAGTGGGGTACATTTTTTTAACCCTTTCAGTGCTATGCAACGATAAGACCTATTGTTTTGCATCTTTATCCTGAAAAGTCCTATGGAACGATATATAAGTTATCGTTTGTTTTTCATCCGAAAAACGGTAAGCGACGATAAGTATATTGTTCCGGCATGACATTTGATCGTGTAAGTTTAAATGGTCATATCGGTTGACTTGGTTGTTGTTTCGAAACAGTGGTGGTTTCTTTTGATTCCTCATATGGTAATTATTCCGTAGAGGTGCCTCCAAACAAATTTTTAATTTTGATATCTTACTTTATAGTTTTTTACCTCCTGAATCCAAATATACCATTATTTTTCAGAGCTGATGACTATTTTTCAAGATATAGCCGTAATAATAGGCTATACAACATTACAATAAACAAGGTAGGATGGATGACATTTACAAGTGGATTGAACTATGGGTTAAGTAAGCCAACAGCTGATTGTTTTCAATCATAGTTAAGCAAAGTTAGCATAGTTTGGAAGTGACAAAGTATGAAGTAAAATGACGTCACTAGGCATAATGCCGATTATAGAATCAGAGTGAGTTAATAAAGTTCAAAAGTTGTTACTTCCAGTTGCTTGTCGTGTGGTTGAAAACAGTCAGCTGTAGGCTTAGTTACCCACAGTTCATTCCACTTTGTAAATGTTATCCATCCTACCTTGTTTATTGTAATTTTGTATGTTTTTACGGCGATATCTTGAGAAATATTCATCAGCGGTGAAAAATAATGGTAGCCTATACTTGGATTCAGGAGGTAAAAAACTATAAAGTAAGATATCAAAATTAAAAATTCGTTTGGGGGCACCTATACGGAATAAAAACCCCTCATACGATTGAGGGCCAATTTATCGTTCCTTATCACTTTTGAGATAAAAAATTTTATTTTTACATACCGGTATTTTTTTTCTCCCACACTAGACCTTGTCCCCGTCGCAAGCCTAGCACTTTTCGGACAAAATAAGTAAATAACTCTAAAAATATTCTAGCATCGAATGGGTTAACTTATGCTAATATCAATTAAAACTATCGAATTGAAAATATTGATTAATAATTGATCCTTTTAACTCTATAAATTATAAAATTAAACTCATAACCTAACCTTTAAACTAAACTTAACTAAACTTGCTGATAATGAAAAAAACGAATGAAGGTTTAGTAATTGAATCGATAATTTCAATCGATACAGTATAAGCATTGCCCCTAGTTAAGAAACTGTAGGCTTACCCATTTAGTGAATTTACCTTTTACTTTCTCCCCATTACATGGAGAAAATACTGTAGGCCTATTGTTTTCATCAAGATTTTTGAGTTTGAGTTTTGAGAGGCCCGTTTTGGACCTCCTGGGCCCAAAAAAGTGGTTTTTGAAGTGATGTCTGTGTGTGTAGGTACTTATTTTTGTGTCTGTATGTGTGAATGTGTACAGAGATACAGACTACACCTGTCATCCAATTTTTATGAAATTCTATAAGTTATGCCTGCAGGTATTAATCCATAGTAGCCTATCTCCAGGCGTTTAAATTTTTTTTTATTTCGATTTTTTGTATCATTACGTTAGGCCTACTTGACTGCTATACAGTGCATATTTTTTGACTGCTACCCTCCCTAGTGTATTCCAACTTAGGTTGGGCGTTTGTGTAGGTATTGTTAGTTGTAATGTGTTAGTTAAGTTTTTGTTTTTTTTTCACCTGAGGACGGGATAAGATTCCAGATCCCAAAACATTGTAGGCTAACATTGTAGGCCTATAGGCTAACATGATGGAGGCCATTGTTTTTTACCATCGTGATGGAAAATGTCCACAATAAACATTTTAACAACCTTTTTATTGCATCTATTTAGATTGGTTCAAGGGAGAACACAGATATCATATCATGTAGAAATAAATAGGTACCGTATGTTAAAAGACGTAAAAGGACATAACTTAAGTTAACCTAAAAAAATATATTATTGGGAGAGAAATTAAAAACATCACTGTTGTCAATGAGTTAAAGAATAAAGTGACTTCCAGCAGAGTTAGTAACCGATTTAACTTTTGAGTAGCCAGGCTAAAAATCAAGAGGTTTAGTACGGTAATGTTTTCTTTATTTCAGAGAACAATTTTCAAGAAGAGAAATGTACACAGTTCATAGAATATCTGAGGAATTGCTGTGTTAAGTGGGGATCAGCTTCAACATCCTGCTCAGGAATTAAGACAGATTTGGTTAGTACCCTACTTGTTCACATTGTTGTTAGTTAATTTGAACATTAGCTCGGTATCCACTATTAACTGTAGGTCCATTAGTTGGCTGTATGCGCTATTAATTAAAAGCTGTGTCTAAAGAATATTTCAACCTTAGTCACTAACAAGTCGGCCTTAGTCAACTACGAGATCGCGCCACTCATCCTACACTCATCTCCATTTCATACTTGGCTTAAAATACCTACATATTTGTGAGGTCGCCATCTCAAAGTAAAGTGTTAAAGTAAAATAAAGTAGGTACTGTAGTATTAAAGCTATAAAATCTTTCAAGTATATGCGTTAATACGCATAGGCCTATTGTTGGTTTTGGCTCCTGCTTTAAGTTAGATTTGAAAAAATATTGCTCCAGCATAGGTGAATTCCTTTAATTCCAGCAATTAGTAAGGGTATATGTCACCAATGTGCACTTGGGAATAACTAGCCTATGGATGGAACATGGTAAATATTGCTGCCAACAAAGGAATCTGTTCAGCACAATCTCCCATTTTCTGTATTTCCCTAAAGGTCTTCTTTACAATTTTTTGTTTCACCCCAAAAAACTCTTTGTATACATTCTCTTTCTTTCTCTTTGTATACATGTATCAATGTGCTAGGAGAACTCAATTTTAACATTCACCATACCTATCCTTCAGTAACTCCCTCTTTAGTGTATTGCCTTTTTCTTTTCAAAACGTCTAACCGTCAAGCACTGCATCTTTTAATCTTTCTGTAATTTTGTTTCAGCACCAAGCAAAGGATGAACAAAAATCCTAGTAGTCCCTGGAAAGAGAAAAAGTCGTTTTTTGGGAGAGTTGATGAAATTGAATTTCATAAGGAAGAGAATCCTAATTTATCGGGGAAGAAGATAGATGTGAGACGTGCTCGAGTGAAAGATTTGCCGTTTATATACAGATATACGAGACACCTCCAGTTTGTAGCAGCAGGGCTCGGTCTGCTCACAGTCCTCAGCAAACCATTATACGACACATATCTCTACTATACAGACCAAAAACCATTGAAACGTGCTGATATTCAATTGCACCCTCGTCCTGTAAAATAGGTAAGCTGGCACAAAATGTAGACTTGTAAGTAGTTGATGATTTAAGTTGTCAATTTTTTTTACAAGAACATCCAAAATGCATAAGTTATTTAGCTAAAAAGTATTTATTGTAATTACTTACATCTTCAATCAAAATTTCTCTAAATGAGTTTCGACCTTGCGCCATCATCAGCTCCTCGTCATACGCTAGGTTTACTTGCATCTTGGCTGCATTAATGCTGCGGCAGCTACGTCAGTTATTCTTTTCATTGTCCCGTGTTGTATTTTTATGTTTGTGTGAAAATAAATCTATCAATTAACTAACACAGCCTCTCAAACACCAAAACAGCCAAGGTGCAATTAAACCTAGCGTATGACCAGGTGCTGATGATGGCCTAAGATCAAAACGCATACTCCATACAAATGTCGATTAAAGACATATGTAAATACAATATTTGATCACTCAATCCATGATACAAATCTTGTTGCTTGTTTTAAGATTTACCTGGAGAGTGGCATTATTTTTGCTTTGCCTTTGATAATACTGTATGAAAAGCCATAGTAAATTATATAGGCCTACTTTTGTTACTGTTAAAGCTTTTGTCTGAAGTAATGTATTGATTGTAGCTTTGACTATCGATAGAAGTATAAATTCCATTCCCATGTTAAAGTTGTCGCCAGTTTTAGAGTCAAAATGGACGTAGTTGTCAGGATCGAGCTACCAATAGTTGACTATGACGATATTAATTAATGATTTTGGTTGAATATGCAGTCTTTTAACCAAGTCAAACCAACATAACTGACCTATTGCAAACCATGGCATCTTTTAGGTCACTTCAACAACTATCTCAATCTATCGGCAAATAATAAGGTAAAATTATAATTTTAGACTGGCTCATTCAACTTTGTTCTTTTTAAATAAATGATTGGTGGCAGCTGTTCCATAAAGCCAGTACATCTGTGTCTACTTTAGTAACCAAAAGTCAGTTGTAGGTATTCTTGTTCAAGTTATTAACTAACTGTATTACATCGTCAGAACTTTTTTCAGAATGGAGTCTGTTACGAAGGCTCGTGCTCGAATGCTCAAGTTTCCCAAGTTGATTGCCGAGTGTAAGACTGAAGGAGCTACTTACGCTGCATGCATCTCTGCAAAACAAGACAATCTGAAGAAGGACTGCTGCCAACAAGAATTTGAGCAACTCAAGCGATGCGTCATGAAAGCTGCTGCTAAGATGGGAACTAGGGTGTGAACCTCTTAGTGAAACTGTAGTTTAAAATAAAACTGTAGTGCTATATTGAGTGGTGTGAAGAACATTAGTGTTGAAAACGTAAATTCTAGTCTAAACCAAAAATGTTAGCCCACTTAGGAATTGGTCTAACAGCTCGTTTGCTGCTGATCTGCTACGCTGAAATTCAAGACAAAGTGTCTGAAGTTCAGTACACGGACATTGACTACAAAGTTTTTACCGACGCAGCCAGGCATGTGTTCAAAAGTGAGTCGCCGTACGAAAGGTACACATACAGATATACTCCACTGATAGCGTACATGTTGACTCCCAATGTGTTTTTTCACCCTGCCTGGGGGAAATTCCTTTTTTCAATACTGGATGTAGTTGTTGCGATTCTAATAAAGAAAATAGTTTCCTTACAGTATCCAAACGTGAGTGAGAGTATGTGTGTAAAGTGTGCTTTGGCTTGGCTTTACAATCCTCTAGCAATCGTCATCTCCACTAGAGGCAATGGGGACTCTTTAGCAGCTGTCTTAGTGATTTTAACGATTCTGTTTCTTAAGAAAGAAAACTACTTTTTAGCAGGAGTTATTCACGGGGTTGCTATACACACTCGCCTGTATCCTATTGCGTTCAGTTTGGCGATGTATTCTTCCATCCCGTCGGATTACAAATGCTCAAAAACATCTTTTTCAAAAATAATAAAGCTATTTATTCCCAACTCAAAAAGACTAAAACTAGTTTTTGGTTGTGTCCTGGCGTTGAGCTGGCTTACCTTCATGTTTTATAAGCTGTATGGTTACACTTACTTGGACGAAAGTCTTCTGTTTCATTTAAGAAGGCGCGACATCAGGCACAACTTCTCTGTTTATTTTTACCAACAGTACTTGTCCTACTTCATTTCCACGAATATTTATCAACGGGTGTTGACTTTAGCACCACAACTGATTTTGCTGTTCAACTTTTCTCTGTTGTACGGTTCCTCGCGTGACCTACTGTTCTGCTTGTTGTGTCAAGCAGTTGTCATGGTCGCATACAACTCTGTACTCACATGTCAGTACTTCATCTGGTTCCTGTCTCTCTTGCCGCTGTGTTTGCCGCACTTGAAGATTGGGAAGACACAATGTGCGACTCTCGCCTTCCTGTGGCTCGCAGCTCAACTCGCCTGGTTGTTGCCTGCATACTGGCTCGAGTTTAAAGGAAGGAACACATTTATGTACATATGGCTGCAAGGAATCGCATTCTTCTGTGCCAACATGGCGGTTTTGGCTCGACTGATTACGTCTTACCAACCAAGGAAAAAACAGGAATGAAGGAAACAGTGTGAGGTCTTTTATACTAACCCGTTTGGTAGTACGGTAAGTTAGACTGATGAAATGTGCTGTATACATTTTGTTTGTTAATTAAAAGATCACATTTGATACTTGACTAATATTTCCCCCTACCTATATAAACCTTTTTGTCATGCTCCAGTAAAAATGTCTATTTTCAAACCGTTTGTTCCAAAATTGTTACTTGAAATGTTATTCTATGGAGAATAAGTAAATTGTTTGTAGTTTGCTTGTTTATGGATATATTTTGATAAATCTTGGCAAATTTATTTATTTTATACTAAGCTATTAATATTTTACACTTCATTACACTCTCTGCTGCAGCAAACTTGGGTAGGACTAATTTTTATAATGTTATTTAAATAGATTTAAGTGAAAAATCAAATCAGGCAAATGAAATCCGTTTAGTCTACAGGTTTGCTGCAGCGTGGGTATTGTTTGTTGTGACGTTGTAAACAAATTGATGTCGCCCTATGGTCAGAAACCAGTGTAATTTGAAATAAACATATGGACAGGGTAAAATCGTACTGTCAACCGAACCTTGGAAACAATAATATAGTGTGAAAAGAGTGATACACTCTTAGGCAAAAAATAATCAGCTGGATCTGAGACATCAGCTGTTAATTTTTTTGACATTAAAATTTGTCAGCTGATTTTGCTCAATTATTATTATGAGGTGGGGACGCCAAGTAAAGAGTCCCAATTGATTACAATATTATTGCATCACTATAAAAATTGTGTCTGTTTATTATCATTCCACATCGTATGTTTCACTAACATTGACTTTTACCCTTTCCTGTATCGACAAATCTAATTAATTTGTTTTTGTTTTGGCAGAGTAGTACATGTTTATTCAAGTAACGGTAACAGCTATTTGTGCACAAAAACAAAAAAGGCTGAACTAATGTTTTGGGCTAATTTATAAAGATAAACCATGTGCAAAATTACACGAGGCCAGGAGGCAGGCATGATACTTGCCTAAGTTAGTGTATTTTAGGTTACATGAAACAACCTGCCTGAGGTAACAAGCCTGCCTACTTGCCTCTTGTAAACATGGTCTGACATACAGTCCCATGGAATCTATATTCATGTTGCGACAATAAAGGAAAACTTGAACGATATTCTGAAAGTACACAAAAAAGCAATAAAATCTTTGTTAAAGCTACAGTTTGTTGAATCAATGTTTACTGAAGTGAAGTTCACTAATAAGAGTTAAATATCTTAGCCTAACTGTAGTTTTTGCTTGGATGCAATGAAACAGAGACATCTCAAACCCACAGGCCAGTAGGTATCATAACCACCATCCACTAAATCATAGGCTATATATATATAACTAGCTGTACCCGCGGGCTTTGCCCCGTTTAACTTCACAAGAATTCACATGGCTCAATCACGTCCTAGTTGAAGTTCGTTCGCTACGCTCACTCACCTTTGGGTTGGAGCTCGTTTGCTGCGCTCACATGCCTTCAGGTTAGCTCGTTCGCTACGCTAACTCCCCTCCAGGTTGAAGTTCGTTCGCTACGCTCACTCACCTTTTGGTTGCAAATTAGCTGTTGTCATAAATAAAAAAAAAAATAGTACTGCACCCTGTGGGCAATCCTTGTAACTTTAATGCTATTGACCATCATAGAACAGAACCAACTTGTTTAATTGAAACAGCTGTTAAGATTCATTAATTCCTTTTAAATATGAAAAATCATAAGGTTAACATGGGAAACTCCAGAGCCACTGGGGCGGAGCCCGAAAGCCCGATCAGAATAAAAACTGCTTAGTTTTCCTATTTAATGCCCAAAGAATTGATGTACCGAATTTCAGCCTCCTAGGTAAATGGCAAAAGGGAGAATTAGTGATGAGTGAGTGAGTGAGAGAGTCAGTGAGGGCTTTGCCTTTTATATATTTAGACTAGCTGTACCCGCGGGATTTGCCCCGTTTAACTTCACAAGAATTCGCATGGCTCAATCACGTCCTGGTTGAAGTTCGTTCGCTACGCTCACTCACCTTTGGGTTGGAGCTCGTTCGCTGCGCTCACATGCCTTCAGGTTAGCTCGTTCGCTACGCTAACTCGCCTCCAGGTTGAAGTTCGTTCGCTACGCTCACTCACCTTTCGGTTGCAAATTAGCTGTTGTCATAAATAAAAAAAAAAAATTTTGCTGCACCCTGTGGGTAATCCTTGTAACTTTAATGCTATTGACCATCATAGAACAGAACCAACTTGTTTAATTGAAACAGCTGTTAAGATTCATTAATTACTTTTAAATATGAAAAATCATAAGGTTAACATGGGAAACTCCAGAGCCACTGGGGCGGAGCCCGAAAGCCCGATCAGAATAAAAACTGCTTAGTTTTCCTATTTAATGCCCAAAGAATCGATGTACCGAATTTCAGCCTCCTAGGTAAATGGCAAAAGGGAGAATTAGTGATGAGTGAGTGAGTGAGTCAGTGAGGGCTTTGCCTTTTATATACTTAGATAAATTCATGTTTTTCAAAATTATCTTGAGGCCAAATGTTTAACTAAGATTTACATCTTCTGTATTATTTAAGTGTTGAGAACATTTTCACGATGAGTAAAAAACCAAGTTTCTCCCAGTCTAACTAAAGAGAAATATTCTACATCAGACTAAAAGTCACAGTTTACAAAGCTGCACTGGATGATCTGCTTCATCAAGACATTGACCCATCAACTGATTACCATAGCAACCTGTAGATATTTGGATGGGTCTACTTTCTTCTCTTTCTTGTATTAAAGCCAACGCTCAAGATCACACTCATTGTATGGTGAAACCTATTGCTTACTATTGCACTTTAATCAAACAAAAATGAAAGTGTCTGCCCCAAAACAACATTGCTTCAGTGCAGAAAAACACAGAGCTTCTAGACCTTTGGATTACATTTATGGTAAGTGTGTGTCTACAAGGAAGATAATGGAAGATAAGTTTTGCTTTTCTCTGTGGTTACTGGTTAGAGATCTCATTTAACAAAGTTATAAGGATCTCCCCATTTATCATAATGCTATAATTTACAGAAAACATAAAATGTTAAATGTTGTAAATTTAATTACAAACGGGTTCATTTCACATAGTATGATTAACATAAAACAAATTTCAGAAAGTCAAGTCTTCTCGGGAAAATCCTTAAGTTATCGCAAAAGAATTCCGTTGAAAGCATAATTTTAGATAAGATTAGTTAGAAATATTGAAATGTGAACAGAAATATAAATAACTTTATCGTAGGGTACCAACAAATTTTTAAAACTGTTTTGAGTTAAATCTGCATGCTTAGTAAATGCTAGAGTGTTAGTATAAGCAAGTAAAAGCTTTTCCTATTCTAGCATTCCTAAAACCTTAGCATTTGTAGCCAAATATTTCAAAATCATGTTCTATATCCCATTTCAGATCCTCTATTCACATTTTCCGGACCTAAAGATTATTACAGAGCTGCACATGAATCGCTACAGTCTTCATCTGAATTTGTAAGTACTGTCAGAGACTAACCAACACAAAAGACTTCTCATCCCATTGTAAATTTTGAAGCACGTTTTTCGTGTATAGTTCATGTACGGTGACACTGGGTGCTAGTGTCAACGAAATTTTGTTTCTATTATTTTAGGGTTAATTTCTTGATTTGTGCTTTACTGTTTGGTTGTATAGCCTAACTAGGGGACAAGTTTTAGATCGTATTATTTGGTTAAACGAGGTTTTAAATGACTGTAATAACGGGAAACAAATTGTATACAAAACACAACCTCTACATAAACCGTACAGAACTAACAATAAAATTGTCTTCAGCTGTTCCATAAGGATGAGAAATCTACTGAGGGAGTATGTTTTATCTATAGTACTGTTTATAGTCTCTTACAAAAATGCTGCTTTAAATATGTACTTTTAACAGAACCAAAACACTTTATTTATATGTATTTTTATTTATAAAATGACATATTTTTATATCTTGTTGTGAGTGATACAAAAACGCTAGACCAACATAATATTTAATAGCCTATATAATTAAGGAGTGTTGGCATATTCCAGTTTAGCTTTTGTCCCAAGCTTTCAAAAGCCAACAAATACAAATTAAAATAAGACATTAAAATGTAAATAGTTAATAGATCTTTAACAAATGAGAATATTTACCTGGACAGAATAAGGTTTTACTTCACTAAAGAATAACACTTGAAACATGTTAGGAGTTATGTACAAACAGTCAATAAATAAACAAAATAAATAACACGTGATTAACAATCTATAACACAAAGTAAGGTAGGAAAGGTAGAGGATAAAATATTATAACAAGATCTAAAAATGCAGTCAACATCAGCTACTTAAACATAACCTGACATAAAACATACACAACACACAAACCAAAAAATCAGCTAAATTTTACAATAGAACCTAGAAAGAGAAGTTTACTCAATGGTTTTGTATTTTGTATGTTTGGGATGGTGTACACTGTACGGTTCAGTTGTCCTAATTAAGATTCATGGGGTTGTTGCAGAGTGTTCAGCCCATCTTTGACTCCATGTTCAGTGACATGGTCAGATTTCCTAGAGCCACCCTAGTACTTCGCCCCTCACACAAACTTCCCCTCAATGTGGACACCTCGTATAGGGGCAAGGTCAAGTAAGTCCTGCAGTACAACACCAATTACAGGGGTACCTTAATCAGAACCTTTGTCCAAGGATAAAATAATAATCATTATCAATTAAGATGAAATATGAGCGAAGGATGAGTGTACCTTTCTATATGACGGTTGTCATTTAGTTTTGAGAAAAGTACTCATTGATGGTTTGAAAGCAGATCCTGATATATTTCTTGATCATTGGGTTGGCTAAATTATGTCCCTTGGCAAGAGAAATTGTACTCGGAGTCAGTTATCTAGTCCTATCCCCTATCTAAACTTACCACTATGTTTATATGCCTGCAGTAACATCCACATCTCAATGATAAAACGGTTACCTATAGTTAAAATGTTAGTTGTAGTAGATTAGTACATCCACACTGAACCGAGATATGAATTGAGTTGTAGTAAACATTCCACATTTCAGTTTTGTGAGCGATAGTTAATTTCTTATAGTGTAAATTGAGAAAAATACAATG